TCTCACATGAAATACCCTGTATACGTTGATATATTCTGAAAGACCTTTTTAAAATAAAACGTTTGAAGCAGCATACTATAGGGTACGAAGCTCGCTCATTATGACTACTCTATCTGCAAAAGCTGTTGTGTAGCTGCAAAAGTATCAATCCAAACCCTATAGTATGACATATCAAACTTCCTCTTTTGAAAGCGCCTTTTAGAATATATGTAAAAAATCATGCTTGCATTTTTAAACAAATGACCCCATCTTACGTTTAGTGGTTGAATAGCTATTGCTAAAAGATGGCGATTAATATAATATATAAAATCGATATGCGATTCAGCAAAAACGTACTGCACTGCTTCACACCACACATACATCTACATCATTGTCTGATTTCGCTATCGACTCGGGCGAATCATCTTAAATAACGTAGCTGGTTGAGTCTGAGTAGCAATTATAGCAGAACTGTTAATCCAAAGTCGATTTGTTGAGGGTCTCGTTAGTCTGCGTGCACTATGGTTGTTATAATAAGAGTTGGAACGACTTAAATAACCGTATGTTCGAAGCGGATTGGTATTATCGGGGAACTATGACTTTTATGATATCTAGAAAGAAGAAAATATCACCTGCTTTATAGTCAACGTTAGGGGAGGAATGGGCAGCTTCGGCGAATCTTTCAAGGAAGCATTCGTTCTAATTTTGTGGCCTTTATATCTGATGTTTTCCTTTATATTTTTACGGCGAGGTTTGTGTAAAGGTTAGAAACTCGGAAGCTACCACAGGGCAGAATCGGACTCGAAAATGAGGTTGGAAACTTAGCTATGAGAAGATCCAGAAGATTATTTTTCATCAGCTCCGCTCATGGTTAATATGAAAGACGTTAGTTAACCTCGTCAAATTTGAATAGATCAGAAGCAGCAACAAAACATTGCAGTGATAAAATTACGTAACTTTTTCTATACTTTTGACTCATTTGAATACCATGACCTACCAAAGTAACAACGTTGTATCAACACAATAACAATATTTACTGTCTAACAACAGAATTATCTGCAAACACTCTCACTTGGAAAAACTAACACTATAAATAATAATTTAATAACAGAACTTATTTCAAGTCCGCTTATAGACCTGCGCCTCTGCATACCTAATATCCTTGCGGGATACAGAGAGGTACTGTTTGGAGCCGGGTTAATATAGCCCAGTGAGGATATATTAAATTTCCGCTACATTGATATAGAAAACGCCCGATTTACTTTCTAGTCTCTGCGTCCAAAACAATCATTTGGAACCATTAGTGCTTTCTGCGTTGTTGAGCTTTATTTACAGCATTATTATTTGGACGTGTCATAAAATGACTATGCTATAATTGTGTCGATGTTGTCAAGAGGCAGTTAACATTTAAGCAGGTACAATAATACCTCTGTCGGTGACTATAATATTTTCTAGAAACTGAGATCCTGAATCCGAAATTTTTGTGTTACGAAATTGCAGAATTTGTAAGTCTGCTATAATCAATAATAAAACCCTCTGTGGACTCTACAGTTTTTACTCGGGTAGGTTACGAGATACAGGGACTTAGAAGTATTGTAGCTAAGTGGAATCAACAGAAATACGAAACAGCGTCTGTTTGTTGTATCCCGAAAATTGGTTTTCCGATGTCATACACAAGATTAACCCTGCACATTCCACACAACGCTGTCATTAATTCCCGAAATTTTTTGCTTGACACAGTCTTGAAAATAAAAACTCAATTACGAACATGGAATTTAACGGATCAAGTCGGTCGAATAGGTTCATACAATTGGTTCTCAAACCATACCCATGTGACGTCAGAAGTTTCTGCCCTGTCCTGAAGACCATTCGACAGCTTTCGATGAATAAACCTTCAGCGACAGCGGTTTATTCGCGACAGGATTATCTTATATTTTCGATGACCTCAACGCGAGAATCGAAAATATTTTATTTTTCTTAAGACTTAATAGCAAATATACGGAAAGATCTATGTATGAAATATGTTTATTATGAGCTTAGAATTACCGCGGCTAGAAGCGTGTAGATAAAAAATGTCTCACCTCATCGCCTGCATTCCCAATGTTTTACCATCGGTTTTACCACTCAGAAATAATTATAAAAATAGCAAGAGCCTCTGAAATTCCAAAAAACGCAGTCTTGAAGACTTTTGTTTTCCTTCTTTTCGTGTTTTGTCCGTAACTCCATCGTCGCTGGATTGATCTTTAAAACCTACCTAGTCCTGATCCGAACGGTACTTCCAAAGTTATAGGGTATTAGGAGACAGACAGAACCGATCAACAGACAGACTCAAATTCCTGTTTTTTTCGTGATTATGTCATGTAAACATATAATATACCATTTACATACATCTCTTGCAATTACAACACGATTTCCTAAACTACAGCCACAAAATCCCATCCCACTTCTGATGCCTTTTAACGTAACACTTCTGACGTTTTCAGACAAGAGCCTGGGCGACACCAGCGACATCATCAGTGACAGCAGCGGCGTAGGCACAGCCAACTCGGATACGACGACATGCAGCGCGTCCGGCAACCACCACATAAGCAGCAGTACGGGAGGGTCGCACAACACCAGCGGGGTACTGATGCCCGCAGGTAGTACCGTTGTATGTGTGGAGGCGTTCCAAGCGGAGGAGGACGGGCAGCTTAGTATCAGGGAGGGAGATATCATCGAAAGTAAGTATTGTTTCAAGAGTTCAGAAAGTTATGACACCTCATATTTACAGAAGACCTGCAAAGACTATATACAGGGTGTCCGCAAAGTTGAAAACATAAGCAATTTTTCTTAGTACCATATACACCAATGTCTTAAGGGAACCGAGATAAAGGGCACTGCAACATCAAAAATATCTGAATACCGTCCTGTAGCCGCGACATCCCCGAGTGGTACTAGGACGCTAGCTCAACCCGACGACAGAACTGGGTCGGGGACAGTGTGTCAGGTCAGTATGCAACCTTCAACCAACGGTTACGGTCACGCGTATAGAGGTAATCGCGTAGACGAGAATCCCGCAACCAGCACTAGAGACGTGGCCAGAGAAGTGCAAGTATCAATAACTAAAGTGTGGCAAACGCTGCGTGAAGAGGGGCTGTATCCGTTTCACGTCCAACGTGTACAAGCCCTTCAACCTGACGATTTTCCAGCAAGAGTGCGGTTTTGTGAGTGGTTGTTGCATCAACATGACAATAATCCGGACTTTTTGAAGTGCATATTGGTGACAGACGAATCTACGTTCACGCGTAATGGGGTGAATAACTTTCGCAACACTCATGTTTGGTCAGTAGAAAATCCGCACGCTGTCCATCGGGCACATTTTCAACAAACATTTTCGGTGAATGTTTGGGCTGGCATGGTGAACGGTATGCTCCTTGGACCATTTATTCTCCCAAATCGATTGGACGGGATGCAATACCTAGACTTTTTACGCAACATTTTGCCTTCCTTGTTCTGTTGGAGCGGTATGATTTCGGGCAGAGACGTACTTAGCCCTTCTCGTCAACTGGAGAGTGAGTATTTTTTCCTTTATTTTTTTTTACTTGATCGCTTTCGTTTCACTACACATCACCTTTGTTATTTCAAGGGTAGTTGTTTATGAAAAGGAAAACCCCAACTTTGCGGACACTCTGTATAGTAGGAAGGCCATAAAGATTACGATGGGTCTCTTGGGTCTAACAGAGGTTAAGTACTGATTCTGCATAAAGCTCGACGAAGTCCCAATGCATATCTATTTAATCACTGAAAAGGCCCGGCAAGGATAAGGCTTCAGACATTTTAAATACAAATCCCAAAGTAGAAATACAGGTATATATCGATATTCCTATATCTAGGCTGTGGAATCTGATTTTAGGATTTAAGCTGTATTCGGTGCTTAACAGGTGCATTAGATACATATGGGTCACAATGGCATATACCAACACGAATAAAAAATGGCGTTGAGTAGGTTGACTTTGCACGTCTCACACAGCGCCGTAATGAGTTCATGAATAATTATGTTCAGTAAAGGCTGAAAAAAGAAGAAAGTCAGTTAGAGCGGTCCGTGCACTTAGATCATAGACATCCTTTCCCGGCCGGTAGTCCATCTGGCTACATCGCCTCTCCCTATACCTATCGCGGCAGTATTACGAGAACACTTATCAAGATTGGCATGCCGCCGAGAGCAGAATCAGACGCGGCCGATGAGTACGCGAACTGTCTGCTGGGAATATTTTTCTAGGTGTTGAGGACAAATGTACGAGGAAATCTATGATGTGTGAAATATGTCTAATAGATGCGTAGGATTACCAAGGATAGGAGCGATAAATATGATAACATCAAAACATTGAGACATCTCTATCCACCCCACCTCCACAGTTTTTTTCGTCCTTGGCATATTAGTATCGTTATGTGAAAATTTCTTCCAAATCCAAGCAGCACTTTTCAAGTTATGTGCGGTACAACGATCAACGGACAGGCAGATAAACCGACGGGAATGAGAAACATGATTTTTCGTGGCGCACATGTCATAGAAGACTCAAAAAACATATCTCATTTTCACGACTACAGCTTTTTCTCGCCAGTATGGCATCGGAAGTAAAAATTAAGTAAATGATGAAGATACTTTAGGTCTTTAGCGATGGATAAAATCAACTAAAATGTACAGCAAGAGTCAAAACATTATCCAACAATTACGACGTAGGTAGCACCAGAACAACAGACGAGAGCGAGAAAGCTTTCAATATTTATTTTGCTACCGATACGATGCGTCAATAAAATAAAGAAAACCGTCCGATTTGCCATTGTTATGGAGCAATAACACTTTATATTCGCCAATAAAAATCAGTGTCTCGCTATTTATTTCGCGTTTCGCCTGAGGAAACAAAACCGGTAACCTTGCGCGGAAAAGATGAACAACAAATATAAGTACGTAAAAAGTATTTTTCTGGATTATGTAATCGCTAATTTTCAGTTGCTTGATGATCGCTCTAGTGCTATGTTTTGTCAGTTTGTGATTGTGTAATATGGTCTATAAGAAGAAAAAATGTTTGCTGTTCAGGAAGTTGTTGGTTCTTTGTAAGTCAATCGCATAGTTATAAAATATGCTTCACAATGAGTCAATGGAATCGGAGCTTACCCAGCTTTCTTTAGCTCACTCTTTTTTTATGTTCTCAGACATATTCAACATCCGTGATCTTTTCTGATGAAAGACTTACAGACAATAGGCGTAATGGGCCTGTCCGTTCGGGCCATTTTGCCTTCAACCGTTGCGCGACTTTTGAAGGGCTAACTGGTAATGAGAGATGAATGCGCTTTGCGCCATAGTACCTTATATATTTTTTTAACCCGGAAAGATGGATATACAGGGTGTTTCAGTTTATTGTTGCATAACTTTAAGATTCGATAGAACTTTTAAAATTAATGCACAAAGTCTATATAAACATGGGTCGAATAATGCGTGGCTTCCGAAATACAGGGTGTTTAAATTTAATTTTTAAAATAGTGTTTTTTTAAATATTTCGAACAATATTTGATCTATAATAGTGAAAATTGGTATACGAGGGTTTATTGGTACGAAAAAACTAACCATGGGCATAGTTTTACTGTAGCCGCTAGAGGGCGCTCTCTACTGTACCTGTGGTGTATTAAAATGACCGAAACAATTTTTCTTAGTGCAATTTTTTGCTTTTTGAATAAAAAAACTGATTCTTCGCACTTTTCTGCATAAAAAAGCTCTCTTGTGAGTTTTCGTTATAGTTAGCCGTTTTTGAGATATTTCGATTTTTAGGGTTCGATGCATTTTTAATTATTTATGATAAAATAACGTTAAAAAGTCAGTATCTCGATAATTTTTAGAAGTAGGCTGTGCCTGCAAATATTTTTGGAATTGAAAGCAGGATAAGGTTAAACGTCAACTAGTTGGCAGTTAGTTTTGTTGTCTGTTGAAACCTGAAACGTTTTTTGCAATTGTGAATGCACGAAATTTAGTTTCTTTTACCTGTTTTTCTAGTACGATTATGTACTTACATAACTAACTTGTTGAGATCATATTTAAAGTTGTGACAGGAGGTTATGTCTTAGAACTGTTTATTATCTCTCCAATTTAACTCCGTATTAAGTTTTTTTTGCCTCAAAGTGCTTAAAGACTGCTGTTGTAACTACTTTATATGACAATCGATACATATTACACATTTGCTAATGTAAGAATACTGATGACCCAATTTATCCAGAATAGCAATTTTTATCGTTTTTTTATTCCGAAATCTTGTTTTGTGCTTTAATGTTATGCGCAACCATTCCTAGAACATACCGGATTTTCAATACCTTCCTTTACTATCTAATCAATAGTAAATGGACTCTTACCGCGAGATGTTTATCAAGTACACAGCATGTAGGTATATAATAGTAACGCATTTCTATTTATTACATTAGAGATCACGCAAAAATCCTACTTATGGCAATTGAATTGTTGAGATACCTCAGCAGGAGGGTAATTGCAATTTGTTTATTTTCTCTGTTTTGACACCGACTGATAACATTCAATTCACTATTGTCTTCAGCTTGTTCTGAGGATACTCTTTTCAGCATTTTGCATTAAGTCTACGACATTCTAACAAAGCACCATAAAATCAGCAGTACAGTACCGATATTTGAGTTCCTCAAGTTTGAGTTTTCGTTCAATTTAGGAGAGCAATATGTCTAGATCAAGAGATATATGTTAACTTTTTCTCCGCAGTCACCGGCGCGACAGACGACGGCTACCTCGAAGGTACTCTCCGTGGCTCCGCCGGAAGTCGTACCACTTCCGGCCTATTTCCCGCCGGCGCAGTGCAGGAGGTGCGCATGCGCCATACGCCGCACGTGCAAGCAGCCGTCGCTAGAGGGCAGGTGGCACCCCAGGGTGCACAACCGACGACTAGGGTGGCGGGGAGGAGAGAGAGTGCTTCTGGTGTAGGGCAGGTGGGGAAGCAGTTTGCTACGGCGCCTAGGACGGCCAAAGGGAAAAGGTAGGTGGTTGGATTTATATGTATTGCTACAAAAAAGTACATAGGAAATTATTTTTGAGGTGGTGTCTCCATATTGCTGGACCTTGATTTCTGAATGCTACTTGGAATTTATTCAGACTAAACATTAACAGGGAAAGGCCACGCTCAATATTTAAAAGACAAGCTCTTCCGTCTAGTATTTCTTAGACGAATGACACAAATGCATCTTACAAGAATAGGCCATTTTCACTTACCTCAGAGCCAAAAACATACGGCGTACTTTTCTGCGGCAATTTCTCAGAATGGAAATCTATATTCAAACTCCAAAAGGCAGTAATGAGATGCATCACTGCCACGCCGAATCTTCTACACAGTTATAAAAAATTGACTTATCCTAGAGTTGCTCTACTTGATCATCAACTCAACTGGCTGAAAAAGAAAATCCTGATTAGGATTTCTCTAAGCACAATATAAACCCCATGTAAGGTATATCCTCAAAAGTAATGATAGTTACGTTGCTTAGCAACCCGCTATATGTTGGCCTTGGGAATTCAGACTGAGCCCCTGTGCACTATTCGTGCGTACTAAAAAAACTGGGGTCTGCAAGCCCATCCATTCACTCTCTTACGCAGTCGATCTGTCTGGTCTCACACCAAACCACAAGATTCTATAGTCCAGTCGAACTAGTTAATATTGAGATAATGTTGCTGATGCAACCCTGGGTACTACTTTTACTACAAGTTTTGAACTGTCTTGATTTTCATGATTTTCAAGAGCTCTATTGTTGAAAACTGAATTTCTGATACTTTCTTGTAGTCATTGGAACGTACCGGCAGAACCGAGGACAGTGGTGCTACACAAAGGCAAGAAAGGTTTCGGTTTCATCTTACGAGGTGCCAAAGCAACTTCACCGCTTTTGGACTTGACGCCTTCTGAAAAATGCCCCGCGTTGCAGTACCTAGACGACGTGGATCCAGGAGGGGTAGCGGATATGGCAGGATTGAAGAAAGGAGACTTCTTACTAGGTAAGCCTACTTCTAGGAGATCCATGAAAAAACGGACAATATATTTGTGTATACTCGTATAGGTAAATAATTTATTCAAAAGCTTGGAACTCCATACAATTGCAAGATAGTTGTCAAACGCAAAACTTTTACTACGTATCAGCAATTGCAACGATTACCCAGTATCGAGAGTTACGGAAAATCAAGCGTCAAAGTGACTTCCAAGTCCCAATTCGAAATAGTTAGAAGATACCAAAAATGACAAAATTTGATTCACGGTCATTGTAGTAAACAGAGAAGTATCATACGAGTTATATATCCACTTATATATGAGTAAAATGTAAAAAATATGAACAAATGCTTACTGAAATGCAACAGGCCATGTCCATGTGACGTCACATTACTAGAATATGGGTAAAACATAACCTTATGTTACGTGTGTTTTGGAGACTTTCAGTTGAATCGACTCGAATTACTGCGTTTCTGTTGTACTTCGGAAAGGCAGAACATTTGAATAGTTCAAACTTTGTCTCACTATCTTGTTACAATACTAACAATAATCTAGTTTTACAAAGAAAAAGTGCTAAAATAGTTCTCGACAACTAGGTCATGTGATACGTCGCACAAGGTTATTCGAGAAGAAATCATTTCTATCCGCTAACTAGTATTAATAACGGTATTCCTGTATATTACAAGGTATTCGAGGTTGTCTTCAGCTATTTTGGCAGCTGTGAGGCATCAGTCAGTTGCTCTGCCTAACGCGTTCTTTAATAGTCCGGGATTCCGGTGAGATTAAGAACACCCAAAGTCTGCACTATTTTTTCCTGACAAGGTGCAGGCCTTTTAACTAGATTTATCGGTTTTTCGACAATATTCCATATAACAGCTGTTTTATGTTGATGCCCGATAACAGGAGTGACGTCATCATGACTGTGTATTTTTGCAGGAAAATTGGACATCCTGCAATGTCCCAACTGGCAAAGTAGTAGTATAAGCTTTTGGTAAAAGAACCGTTCAGCCATAAAAGCTCCCTATTGTTTTTGCCTGAACACCAAAATGCTGGCTTAATGTTGTGTGGAATTCAGATTTGCTTTCAGCAACATATTTTCTCTAAAATGAAGTGTTTAAAATATTCTTAGGGCATAGTTATACAACACCTTATAGGGCAAATTTTTATCTGTTGCATAAACGTTTATACAACTATTTTATACGGCATATTTGCACGTTAGTCAAAATGGTTGTGTTGTGGCATCCATGGTAACGTTTATAAAACAAACCCGAGCCTTATTGTTTTGCTGTGCAATTTACTACTTTAGCCGACAAATTGCTCCCAGCGGAAGCACTTATACAACTGTTGTTTAGTAACTATTAAAGGCTGTACATATGCTAAATATGTTGGTAAACAACTTCGCCATAACCTAACTTTCTGCTGTCACATTTTTGTAAAATGCCATAATCAATGTTTTAAGACAAACAACGCATGCATATTGGTTCAAAAGGTTTTATCAACTGTTCAAACAGAAGATATAGATCTGGTACAAATTCTGGGTAAATCATTCGACTCTGTCGGTATTTCATTTCAGACATTTGTCAAATTGTTGTATAACACCTGCAGGCAACACCAAAATATTCTAATAACCTAAAGACAACATGGACGATGCCATGATTTTACACAACCACCCGCCATATTGGGCAAACATTTATTCCTCTATTTAATATTAAATAATTATGTTTTTGTTCGAAATTACAGATATAAAGTACGATAATCACATTAAAATTTGCTGCGCAAGTAATTCAATAGCCCTATATCACAGTGTAGAAGTTTATCGTATACCTGTGTATGAAATTCACAATGGCCGATATGTAAGTAAACAAGATGACTGTAATGTGTTAGTTATATATTCTTCGCTTCGTCTATACAATACATAAGAAATAGTTTGGTTGCAATAAAGTACAATCACGTAACAGAATAGTTGTATAGTTGACAAAAACTGAATCTTGCACTGACGTAAATGTCCTATAGCGGCTCCAAGAGGCTTACATTTTTGTTTTATAACTGTTACCTGCAGCCCTTATTTAACCTCTTAAATGACTGAAGTGTTCTATTAGATGTGCCCATTCCGCTTGTATAGCTGTTCTAAGAGGGTTTTGCCAATGTTCTTACAGTATACAATGCTGTTTGAGGAATACTGTATAATCATTCTTGCAACTCTAATAGGAGTGATAATTGTTAGTTGGGCTATGTACATCTAATTCTGTTTTCCAGAAATTAACAACGAAGACGTATCAACCTCATCCCACGAGCGCGTCGTGGAGCTGATCCGTTCCTCTGGTGACCTGGTGCAGATGACGGTCGTCACATGCGTTCCATGCCTACCCACCAGTCGCTCGGCGCTGCCAATCAATCCAATGGCCGCCCAGCCGGCGAATGGTGGGCGGCAATACGCGGCAACGCTGCCGCGGAAGGCGATGGGCGGAACAGGTAGTGCAGGGGGCACGCCTAGGGCGCAACATGCTCCGCTGCCGCCCAGGAGGGATCCCAAGACGACGCTCAGCGTTGGAAGGGCTAGGGCGAAGAGTATGGTTGCAGGGTTGGGTAAGTATTACTTACGAGCATTTAGGGTGGATTTCGCCAAGGTCGTCAAATCAACAGTCCGTTATTCTCCACCTACAGGGTAACAGTCCGTCAAATAGAGCGAATGAGCTTCAACATCCAATCAACAAATTTCAGCAACCAATAGCTATGAAATGTTGAAAACAAAATATTGTCAAAGTATGAGATGACATCTTGTTCTTGAAACATCAACAGCTTATTGAATATTGAGAAATTACATATGATTTAGTCAAAATTTAAAAAAGTGTTCGATTTTTTAATAAAATTCATGGATCATAAATTGGCAAAAATCGGTACATTTCTACAGGTACATATTAAGTACAACACCCTGTACGTGATATACAGACAAAACTATATTGCCATGTCGTCAAAAACAGTGCAAACATCCTACTAAATACAATAGCTAGAAAATCGACCTACTATTTCTCTCATTTTCATTGGTCCATTTAAATAACTGACCGTCTTGTCTGAAATGATAAAAATTTTAAATTCTATGGAAGTTAACCTAATTCTAAAGCACAAAAACATAATATTACATCTATAATGTACCCTTATTTAGACAACCGTTTTTTCACGACTTAATGTTGGTGAAATTGGCCCTAATTTTACTTAAAAAATGTCCGGAAAAATTTATAACATGGTAGCAATAAACATAAGCCAGCTATAAATTGACCCTGTTGTCAAAAAATAGATCCAGACGGTGCGGAGTGGACTTTATGAGGTACGGCCACAAATCGAAGTCGCTATAAACATAGGTATCATATCAGTATTTTAGGAAAAATAAGCAGTCATACAAGTCCACAAACACGATAAAATAAGACAAGAAGAAGTCTGAAAACCAGTCGATCATCGTTGACTCAAGAACTCTACATTTGAACCTTAATGGTTCTCAAGTTAAAAATTACTATTACTGTTTATATAGTGAATTTTGCACCCAAGATAGAATGGATGCGTGATTGCCAAAAGCAAGAACGGCGTAAAGGGCTACCTCCGAATGATGGACTACCACCAACGTGTTGTAAAACAAAGATGACAGTATTTAACAGAAACAGAAAGTTAACAAATTACTCAAATACACTTAACAACAATAACAGCAACAACCAAGCAAGGTGAATACGAAAACACGAGCACGCAGTGATACACACGACGGACGGTGGCCTGAGTGCAACTCTGCCTGCCCTGCCCCTGCCCCGCGCATTATTCCGCCAGGCGACTGCTTAAAATTTCATCTTGAATTTGGATTCAGTTTAGAAGTCGCTACATTAGAGCAACTTGGGGCGCTGATTTCGAATATGGACATCAAAGAGATGAAAGTGGCATAAAGCTTTATTTGGAACAGGGAAATAAAACTGTTGAGGTGGTTTTTCGCCAATCTCAGCGAAAAACTTTAATCATATCTTTGACACAATCGACTTAGCCATGAAACTGCTTTGGCTGAAATTGGGAGTCTTCTCAACTTCACAGTTTTCTGAACCGAACATTTGGCTGGATATAGCACTTTACCTAGTGGACAACAGACCCTTAGAGGCATCCAAGATCGTTTGCCAACACCTCATTCTAGGGAAGTGTTACAGGGAATACAGAAACTTTAAGAATCAAACTATATATAAGGGAGTAATATAATAGGGTTTCAGGCAATAAGGTACCTAAGCCAGTTTAAACTTTACTTGGAATTATTGGACCATCATCCATATAGTCCCGATCTAAGTCCTAACGATTTCTTTACTTTCCCGAAAATTAAAAACAGGCTGCGTGGTCAAAGGTTCCAGTCACCAGAAGAAGCAGTTGACGCATTCAAAAATGCCGTTTTGGATCTGCCAGCAAGCGAGTGGAATAAGTGCTTCGAAAATTGGTTCGTGCACATGCAGATGTGTATTAATATTCGTGGAGAATACTTCCAAAAACAATAAAGTCATTTAAAACTACCTACCGTGTTGTTTTATTTCCATATGCAAAAGTTAAAAGACATCCCTCTTAAACCTACACCACGACTGCTTTTATTAGACGGAGATGTGGTTTTCTATTCAAATGTGGCTCAGGTACCTTATTGTCCAATTTGTTGCAACCTCTAATTCTACTATAAAAAATTAATTGGCCATGCCTAGGAACTGAAGCAGATCAAGAGGATCCAAAGAACAGCTCAGCGGAATCAGTGCAGCAACTCAATTCAACACATTCAACACCGGTGCCCCCTAGAACAGCGTCTATAAGGCAACGACCTGCTTCAGCGAGGATCGCGTCAGCAGCACTGGAGGAGCTCTTTAGGGACAAGGAAGCTGAGGAAAGACTGACTAGTGCCAGGTGAGATCATACCCAAGACACGTATATACCAAAAAACGTGTATCGTGGCTGATATAAGAAATGGTGGCAGTCCTACTTTACTAATATACCGACCAGTTATCTTTCTTCGCAAACCATTGTCCATGCCGCTAAATTCTCCATTCAGGGTTACAGAGACTGAGAACACTCTCACTGATATGACAGGGCAATAGAAACCAGATCAGAATCGGTAACTGCTTACTAAAGAAACGCAAAAATGGGGAATTACTAGCACAAGCAGTACGCAGGCTTTTTAAGAAAATGGTGAAAGCGTCTCTTGTATAATGCCGTCGCCTGCTGCGATAGACGCATCCACCATTTCTTTAAAAAAGTATGCAACGAGTATTATTCGCATCCACATTTGTATCCACATTCGCGAATTCATCCGAATATGACTATCAGAAAGAGAGAATATGAAAATAATACTTCGTACTGTAATAAGACAACAAATATCACTTAATTTTTTAACCATATTTTTTCCTTGGTGTTATGAACAATCATACATTTCTCATCAGAAAGCATAAGTTTCGTTTGCTTTGTTAGTGAAGACAGTCCAGACAGCGATGCGGCTGTGAAATCAATGAATGTCTTCAGATTCCATAACGAACAGCTGAGCTCAACTTGGTCGGAACATAACCTAAAAAAAGGAACTTTTCTAATTTATCATGGAACGTCAGTCAAGTCTAAGCATTTTTTACAGTTTTCTGAGAAATATATAACTATAAGCAAAGTTAAAAGTCACACAATTTGAATTCTATGGATTTTGAAAACGAAATAAACTTGCAAGTGAGGACCAATTCCACTAAGCTACGGTTAGTTTAATTGTATTGTGGTGGAAAGAACTTGTAATATACCTAGTGAGATTGCGTGTAAAATGAATGCAAGGAAGTATGGAACATGGTTGCCAGGTGTGGCGATTTGTCACCAGATCTGATGATATTTTTGTCCACTTGGTCATTTGGTGAAAACTTTCCTGAAATGACACATTCCTGGGGAGTTTTCTCCAAATTATAACATTACGGTTATTTAAGACAAACATACCAGTTTATGTTTATCCGATCTTATTAACAGATAGAGGTCCTTTGTGGCAAGAGTCTGCTTTATGTTTATTGCATTTTATGTTTTAAAAGTTAGTTATTTAATTTATGTTTGAAGGTATGTTCCATGTTTTTTTTATTCCAAAAAATTCCTGTTCGTCTTTCGAATAACGTTATCAGTATTATTATAGAGGAACTCGTTATATTTTTGTTGCTTTTATTTTTTTATGTAATAAATTGTAACCAAACTGTTAGTGTTTGACCTTTTTTACTTAGTATCGATTACTTATACGCACCAAAGTCCAAAAGAGTAATCAGTTCATTTTCGCTTGAAAAAAATCGTTGACCTTGGAGACCATTTTTTCACTTTTCAACGCGGCACCAGCTTTATTGCCTCACGAATCCTAGCTACGCCTCTGTCTCAATAAAGTTTATTGGTGATCTGCTGATCTATTTTCAAATCTAGCGATTCATTTTGGTGACAAATATATTTTTTACCTGGCAACCCTGGTATGGAATAGCTTCGCACAAGCTAAAACATATTCTTCTTCACTTTATCGGTCTTTCATTATAAATGTTTTACATATGAAAAATACAAATAGAAACGACAATTCCTTTCTTATACTTTTTGCAGTGTAATTACATACTTATTTGCTTTTTTATTTTTTTAAATACCACTTCAATAAAATCAAGCTTAACTACAGGAATATCAAACTTCAGAAGTGATGGTTTCGCAGTCATCTCTGCTTAAAGTATGTTTTGATAAGGTATTCTCTAATATAGGCAGTAAATCTTCGCATTTGCGAATGCCTAAGAATTGCCATTCATTGCATCCCTAGCATAATGGTGGTTGTTTATAAAATGGTGGAAGAGCCACTGAAATCGAAATGTCATTCCTGGACATCACTTATAGCACTAAGTTACTGTCATTTTCAGATTCCAACAAAGAGAAGGAGAACTGATGAGCTCAAGGTTTCAAGGGACTCATACGCTAGGCTCTCCTGTCAAGAATAAGGTGTACGCCAGTGTTGCTGAAATGAAGAGAAGTAAAAAGCAGGTCAGTATTTTCGAATAACCGTTTTTTAGCGTATTTAGGATTTTCGAATTTTCAAATATCATCTTGAATACCTAATCGAGCATTAATGCACATGTTGCATTTTGACTTGAATAGGCGCGGCTTTGCTATCAACGCTGAGTAATTTGAGATCCGAACGATGATATTGCCAGATATTCTGAAATTTTACAAAAAACTACCGCAGATCCTAGTTTCCCGAATTTTGTGTGAAGTTCCACAGGGAATCCAATATCCGTAACCTTGTGCTGCAGGAATCGTTCATTAACTGGTGTTTTTTTCCTTTACCATTTTTCTGGTAAAATTAAAGTAACACAGTTATAGCCCTTTGGAAGTTTGAGTACCGCCCTGTCTCAATAATAATATTATGTGCTCGTGTTTGGCGACAACGGATATAATTCGCCTTATCGGTTCATCGCATCGGAAACAAAAAAGCGAAAGAATTTGGAACGATGTTTTTACAATTATTTCATTCAGTTGTATACAGTCAGTGTCAGTCGGTAGTGGATAGTGGTGTCTGTTGCGTGGCTCAAACGAAATAAAAAATGGCATATGTTTATGCGGATCGGTTTCCCAATCGAGTGCAACCAACCCCTCGTGCCTTTGTTAATGTAGTACAACTGGTTTGTGAATCATTTGACCTCACATATGGAGGGCATGCCGGTGCTCCAAGACCTCACGATCAAATACAGGTCCGCACTGAAATACGGGAGGATACTTTATAAAATAAGGTAAAATTTTTTTTTTATTTTTTTTTTATTTTTACACACATATTTTGGTTTATCTTCCTTCTACAATCATTATCTGAGAATTAATGACTCAACTTCAAAGTCACCCTGTAGAAAAAGAAGCAAAGTTCATTGAATTATAGCAAACCAACCATGTTTGTGTTAATATTTTGTAGCTTATCCATCATTATCGATCACCACCTGGCATCGTCTCGGCATAGATTGTAGAAGTTTCTTGATATAAGATTCATTAATCTGTCTGCACTTTTGCTCTAAAGCGGCAAAAAGTTCATCCTTGTTTGAATAATTTGTATCTCGTATTTGATTATCCAAGTATTCCCATAGATTCAATGGGGTATATATCGGGAGACCGTGAAGGCCATTTGAGGACTAGTATTTTTTCATCCAGAAATAATTTCTTTGCGAGATTTGAAGTGTGCTTCGGGTCATTATCTTGCTGGAAGATTGGTCTTAAGGGCATATTGCTTTAGCATGTCTGTGTATTCAAACTTATCCATAATGCCATCTATTCTATGTAAGGGTTCCATTCCAAACCCCGAAAAGCACCCCTAAATCATAACAGTCCAGCCTCCATGTTTGACAGTGGGAAAGTGTTACTTGGGGTTCAATCTGTGTCCAATAGGACGTCTAACGTAATGAACACCATCTGATCCAAACATATTGAACTTGGATTCGTCACTAAAACATACCCTCTTCCAGTCACAGATGCTCCAATCAAGATGCAACAATGCAAATTACTTTTATTAATCTAGCTGATCTAGCATTTAGTTTTCTAGGCCTACCACTTCTCTTAGAGGCTTCCAAGATACCTTTTTGTTTATATTTGTTCAATAGTGCCCAAACTGCTTTACGCTTCAGCTTCAATGTCGACTTGACGTTGACTACCTTTGTATAACTCAATGATCATAGTTTTCACATCGCAAGAAATTTTTGGACCACTCAACTTATTCTACAATACTTGATGAACACAAACTAATCCTCTTCTGGCACGAAACAGTACTAAACTAATGTTGAAAAGAATTTGTCTACATATTTTTGTCCATCATAAAAAAGTGCCTATATTCAGACTTGTGTTGTGTTTATCGCAGATAATGTAAAAACGAGGAATTTATTTTTTCTACTAATAACGCATTTGTTTACGGAGCAATGAACTATGAATTCGTTTTCTAAAGGTATTTAGGTAAATATTCATATTTGTCTATATACTTTTGTCCATTAGTGTATATCGGCAATATCGAAATGTTTTGTCTGACTGACCATATGGTGATATATACGCTGGCCAATATAAGCTTAGTTAAATAGTGTTTATCATTTTTTCTAATTACATAAATTCAACATCACTTTATTATTATCTTCATTTGTATAAAAAACAAAACCAAACCGTCATTATCAGTCTCAAGATTTGGACAAAAGGTTAAAAACAAATAAATTAAAACGTGAAAAATACTGTGAAAACAGGATTTACGAAATCCAGTGAAAGACACATCCTCAAAATATGTACTGTCAGTAATTGTCACTGTACCTGAAAAAGTCCCGCTAGAAACGCCGTACAATAAACAGAAATTGAAACATATAGTTGGTCTGTTTGGCATCGTAAATGTTGCCCGATCCAAAGATGCCATGTGGCGGTATTCCGATAATTTGGTCTACTTTCTCTTGCATTGCTCTTTGAGATATGTCAGGAATTATAGTTTCACCGAAATACTTGTCTGATGATAAGCCATAAGAAGGAAATTAAATGATTTTTCAATAAATGATTGAAACCCATATCAGTCGTGAGAGAAACTTGTTGGTTGGCCACTGCTATCATTTCATTACCAATTCGTCAGTCTTCAGTGTTTGATCGGAAATTCGTTGTCTAAACAGATTTCTGTCGAGTACTAAATATGATGCAAGAATGACTTATAGACACGCTAGAGGCCCCTTAGATTTACTGAAGACTACTGAACCGAACTACATCCGTTTGCGAGTGAAAACAGACGAACAGCCGATAGGCCTATACAGCCTGTATATCGTTATCGACCGATTCACTGGACAACAAATTTTAGTTTTTTAATTGTATCTTGTGGGAAAAGTGCACTTCTTTGTTAATTTTGAGGCGCTGAATCCAAAAATAACAATGAAATAAAAAAATTAGTTGCGGTTTAGAAAAAAAACTTTTTATTTTTAAGGATATATTAAAAAAAGTAAAAAGATTCATATACTTATAAGAATCACTATATGCGCTGCCTTTTTGCTGTTCTTTTATGGATCGTTTCTGGAGCATCTCTACCAAGAGTCCAACAGTAGTCTGCAAGCATGGAAGGATTCCACTTTCCCTGGTACCTTTTTTCCATTGTCGAAATATCCTGATGAAAACGTTCACCGTGCTCATCACTTACGGCTCCGCAATTGTCAGGAAAAAAGTCCAGGTGTGAGTTTAGGAAATGTATCTTAAGAGACATATTACAGCCCATCTTTTGATACGATGACAGCATATTTTTGACAAGGGTTTTATAGTTGTCAGCTTCTCTATTTCCCAAGAAATTAGTGTTTTCAAGCTGTGTATCTTTCAAAATATTTCGAATCTGTGGCCCAACAAAAATACCTTCTTTAACCTTTGCCTCACTTAGTCTTGGAAATTTCTGACGCAGGTATTGAAAAGCTGACCCATCTCTATCTAATGCCTTGACAAAGTTTTTCATTAGGCCCAACTTGATATGCAGTGGTGGTAATAAAATTTTTTTCGAATCTACTAATGGCATATGCTGTACATTTTTTTGACCTGGCTCTAGAAATTGACGAACAGGCCAGTTTTGTCTGGTGTAATGAAGTGCCTTTGCCCGACTGTCCCATTCACACAAAAAAACAGCAAAACTTTGTGTAGCCTAGCTGCAGCCCAAGTAAAAGTGCAACAACTTTCAAATCGCCACAAATATGCCATTGGTGCTCATCGTATTTTATGCATGTCAATAGGTACTTCCTATTGTCATATGATTCTTTCATGTGAACTGCAGACCCTACAGGAAGAGATGGTAAAATATTTCCAATATGCAATAACACTGCCTTTAAACTCAATGTTGAACTGTCTATAAACGATCTCCATTCTTCAGGGTTATAGTTTATATTTAAAGCCGCCAGTAAGCCGTTAATGTTACTGCAGAAAACCAAGTTATTCTCCATATTGAAAAATGGTTCTAAGTCTTTGTGGCGTTTACGAAAAACACATACCAAAACATCGTCTTTTAACAAGTTCGACTGCTGTAGTCTTGATCCAAGTAACTCTGCCTTACATTTTGGAAGTTCTAAATCTCTTACAAGATCATTTAATTCTGACTGTTTTATTTTGTGCGGTTGGTGGCATGACGTGCTCGGTATAAAATCAGGATCTCTTGAAGTTGATGGCATATCTTCTTCCTGACGAATCACTCGATCGCCATGATCTGATTCGTTTTCTGATTCGCAAGTGTAGGATTCTGGGGGTTTTGGAATAGAATTTTCGTCACTGTGAGGCACAGGTCTCATCGCAGATGGTATGTTTGGGTAGTTAATAACCGATTTTTTTTCTTGGACATACCTGTGGCTTGTCCAACACAAAGTACCATGCAAAAGTAACAATCATTAATATGATTTGTAGGCTCTCTCCAAACCATTGGGACAGCAAGGCGCATAGACCGTTTTTTGCCATTTAACCAGCTCCTCAGACTTGAAGCACATGTATTACAGCAGATGTGGGGTGCCCACTGTCTGTCTTGATCACCTAGTTTACAACCGAAATAAAGCTGATATGCCTTTGTTATTAGTGGAGTAATAGACCGTCTCTGAGACGCAAAAGTCACATCACCACACACGTAACAAAACTGATCTGGATTGTTTACACACTTTCGAGATATCTTGCATGTACGCTGTCAGCCAACTGAGGAAAAAATGGCTAATATAAAACAATATAATGTACACGTATGTATAACGTAACACAATCATGCCGATTACATCATCTTTCATTGCCGAATATAAAAATGTAGCACGTGCATTCTTGTGAATTACAGTATATCTCCAATTCTAAGTTGCCAAAATTTGAGATTTAAAAGAACGTTATCGTCATTTTTCACATTGCTGTTATTTTACATATTGTTTGCAGAGTTCTAAAGTCCGCTTCACCGACCTGTTCTTCCCGCACAAAGGCGGCCTTAAACGCACCTTCCACAGCACGCCCGACCTGGCGCAAGAGTGCGCAGCCGCGACAGCTTCCAGCACGCCGAACGGGGGCGGTGCCTACAGGCAGTCCGCCTACTCGACGGGAGTGGGGACGACGTACGCCTTCCATCGCAGTCAGGAGGATGTCAGTGGAGGAGTGGGTGGGGCAAGAGGGCTTTTGCCTCCGCCGACACATCCGCCGCCTCCGGTGCCGGTGGGGCAGGTGGTTAAGGTATAAATAATAATTTGTTTATTAAAAAAAATGGCGAAAACTTAGAACTCTTCACAAATAGTCGGGAAGAAGTAGAAAGTCTTCGTATTTTAATAACCAGATAATATGAGTAAATACTTCTACATAAATATACATAAGGTGGCCTATTTTAATATCTCCACCTAAATACTTGCAAAACTACCCATTCTAGAAAAAAAAGTTTAAACAAAAGTTGAGAGAGAAAATGGTGATGAGCACGACCATGATCATGTCAATGACCTTGACAGTGACCATGACTATAATCATGACACTGACCATGACCATAATCATGACAGTGTCCATGACTCTAACCTGGAACTTGACCTTGACCCCAACGGTCAAAGTCAAATTAATGTTTTCATATGGAATTAAGATTGACATGACTTTGACTTTGAGGTCGTCACATTCGGACGTAACATTTCCCGCTTTTTTCCAAGTCCGAGTTAAAAATGATAGAACTTACTTGAAAATTTTGACTTGACCTTGAATGACCCCTACAACCCCACAATTTTTCTGTCGAATACGTTTGTTCAGTTCCATTTGAAAATATCCGCTTAACCTTGAAACTCGTGCTAAACGTCGTCATCATTATTGTGCCGCTACGAAACCCTACAATTTTTGCTTGAACTTTTTTCTAGCATGCGTAGTTTTTGAACTATTTAGGTTAGCAGATTAAAATGGGACACGCAAAATAAATAATGAGAAAAAAATCGTTACAGGTGGAGGTAGGAGGGGGTAGAGCAAGCAGTGGTAAGGGTGAATACGACCGAGTGGTGGCGCAGCCTCAGGATAGAACGCAAGAGCAAGGAGAGGAAGGTCAATATAATTATTCATTTGTTTGTAATGCCTCTACTCGAGAATATTCTCAAATTGACTAAAATATCCTAAGTCTTATTTGACACATACGAATCAGGCTGGGCATACTCCGCAATCATTTGTTATTTACATTCATAAGAAGCCATTGAATCGAAGGAACCTCTATAAGTATTAACCATTGTGTATGTGGCACCTACCTATTTTAATTTGTGAAAAACTGATAAGTTATCGCGCCAACGACTGCTACATAAGGAATTAATGGCATTTAAAATGAACATAAAAATATCTTAATTATATCCGCTACCTGTCCAATGCGTAATTTCGTATCATTAATGGTGCTACGCTCTTACAGTGTTCGATAGTTCGCCAACATAGAATATCCGATTCACGAGCCACAAAAATATTAAAATAGGTTGTGTAAGTAAATAAATATTTTGCATTTGTATTGATATCAAATTAAGTAATCAAGTAGTCTATTTGAGCTTAGAATCTATGATCGTGAAACCCGCGTATGTCATTTGACAAATAAACGGAACGGAACGGTAATTTGTGACAAAAAGTGTTAGCTATAGTCAACGCGAAACAAAGTGGCGTGCACGTCATCAAGGTGGGTGTGTTGAAAAATTCACATTGTTGCCAAACTTTTTGTAAAATAATAAAATTTATTATTTACATATCTAGGTTTATAAGCAATATTAACCTCAAATGAGAACAAAAATAATAGTATAATAAAATTATAGATCTGTACTTGCATAATCATTAAGTATGACAATTATTGATCAGATGACACTATGAAACTACCATATTTAATTGATAGCTTAAAGGTACTGAATAAAAATCCAAATGGGGTCCTCCAAATTTTATGCATGGTATTTATTTTACAGAATTCATACAGAAAAATGCATTCTAAAATTAGGTAAGCTACTGGTGTAAGCTTTTTCTGTACAATAAAGTTAGTCGGAGTTTCTTTCTTCAGCGCTGTCTGAATCTGAATCTTCATCACTCTCAAAGTTGATTATTAAAGGTTCGATGTCTGGTCGATCAAAAATTCGTTCTCTTTCATATCATTTAAAAATTTCTTGCTCAGTATGTCGAACACTATTTTTCCACATGTCTGGGGTAACTGTTTGTAGAGCCTCGTTCCACATATCCAAACAGTCTTTTTCACTGTTACCATCTCTACCAATATGTCTGTTATAGTAACCTTTTGCTATGCCCCAAATTAACGCAATAGGGTTAAATATACAATGGTAAGGAGGCAGACGAAGAACTTTGTGCCCATGTTGTTCCGCCAATTCATCAATCACGTATATTTTAGGTGGTTTGTTTCTAAAAAGCAGTTATTTTAAGAATAGGAATAAACAAAAGAAATATAAACTGTCGACCAAAATATATATAATTAAGAAGCATTATGTACCGAGCAACAATACTCAATAGCTCTGTTTTAAACATTGTGTTTAAAAATGGTATGTTTTGATTTGTCAACCAGTCTTGGATATTTTTTTTTGTCCATGCATTGTTGGGCACTTTGTTCAATATCATGCTGTGATAAGGGGCGTTATCCAGTATAATCATAGATGGACTCTCCAATTTTTCTAATAACTGATGTTGAAACCATTTCAAAAAATTGTCCTGGTTCATCTCTCCATGGTAATCGCTCAATTTTGTTTTCGAAGAAAATATCGCTTCACTACCCTCAATAAACCCATTTTCATTTCCAGCATGTAATATAATGTATCTAAAATATATTAGTTTTAAATTTTATAGTGCAAATTGTGTAAAAGTACATACCTTTTACCATCTGTTTTAATAGCTTTCACGCTTTTTTGGTTTCCATTTTGCCAAGAGCGACCTATGGTCCCATTTTGAAATATCCAAGTTTCATCGAGGAAGACAAACTGGTATAAGGCCTCAACCTTGGCTTGATTGTATTGCCTTAGAAATACCACCCTTTTCAAAGCTATACTTGGTAGTTCCATGAGCCCTCGTCGCGGATTGTCCTTAAGCCACTTAAATCCAAGATCTCTAAGCAACCGCCTTAAAGGCGTGGCACTACCATCAAATAATGCCCTATCTCTTAATCGAGACCATACAGTTTGTATTGTAACTTGTTCTTCTGAAACCATGTGTAATATGACATTATAATTTAGTTAACAAATTAATGCAAATTTCTGATAAGTTATTATAATAAGATCTTACTTTTGTGATACATATTATAGATCACTTCTCGAATGGCACTTGTATCCAATGTCGCTGTGTTGGTTACACGTTTAATATAACTCCGCTTTTTCTTGGGCGATTCTAAATTTGCATCACTTTTCACACCCTCGGAAATACGACTAACTGTCCTTAAACTAATTTTTAAAGCAGCAGCAACACGCTACAAAAAATGAAATAAAATTTCACTATTATTAATATACATTACATATAATTATTAGTAACCTACCTCTTGAACAGCATTTAAAGGCAACAAAGGCCCGTTGTTGTCCCTTTCTTGCTCAAAGTAGTGCATTAACGAGGCCACGAGTTCCTTACACTGACTATTTAACTGTTTGGGCATCTTTATATACCAAAATTGCCTTTATCTACTCGTAAAATGAATAATTTTGGTTTGAAACAAACAGTTGTTGATTTACAGTATGCGGGGCCAAAGGATTTATTAAGATTTGAAATGCCACAAATTGATTCAGTGTCAAAATTAATACAAATGTCAGTTCCCAGTTTAAATAAGTTTCAAGGTGACAATGTGTCAACGCTGCGAAATCGGTTCAGTGCGTTTACATGTCGATAAGTGATTGGAGCGTTTGCAAAACATTTTATTTCGCATAATGCGTCTAAATTTATCAGAAAGCAACTTATGTGATATTTTATTAACAATGTTTATATGACTATTAACCATAATAAGAGAGTAATGACCATTTTACAATTTATATATCACATTAATATGAAACTGCAATAGAGCAATTGTTTGTGATAGAAACCTAGGCATTAGGTCGGGGAATTTTTATCGTGATGACGTGCACGCCACTTTGTTTGGCGTTGACTATATATGATGAATAGAGAACAATGACAATAGCGATATTTTTGTCATGTGTTTGAAGACAAATAAAAATGGTGTCTCCTTTTCTGGATGTAACTGCCTTGCCTTGCATCAGTGTTCCGTGTACTTCCTTCATTTTTGTTAGGGAAATATTGCACAATCAATATTTGGTTTGGTCTGGACCTACAGAATTTTGCTAATGATTCCGTCAATGTCAATGCATTTCTACATAACCTTGTTTGTTTGCTTAGGATTTATTTAGCATGATTGCTACAATTAAATTCTTCTAAAAAACGAAACAATTACATAACATACAGATAGTTATAAAAAAATTTGCATCTCTAAGAATTTTCACTCTCCATGAAATATTCCTTTAATTTTCTTTTAAACATCTTTAAATTACAAGTGGACTTTATTTCATTATTTGTTTGCTTAAGATTCATCTAGCATGATTGCTACAATTACATTCTTCTAAAAAACGAAACAATTACATAACATACAGATATTTAGAAAATAAAACAAAATTTGTATATCTAAGAATTTTCACTGTCCATGAAATATTCCTTCAATTTTCTTTTAAACATTTTTAAATTACAAGTAGACTTTATTTCGTTTATTAAGTTCAAGTAATCCTTTCCGAAATATTGATTAGCTAGTTATATAACTATTGCAATTTGATGATGATTTTTTATCTTAATTATAAAAATAAGAACCAAATATGATATGAAATTTTTTATATTCAACAAGTAATAACTGATATCTTGGATGCACGGTCAATCAATATGAAATTTCATAATTAATTAATAATAATTAATACTAACGGATCACAATAAATACTACTTTCCCTTAGTGCGGAATTCTAAACTAAGATGAATAAAGTATTAGTAATATTGCCTTATTTTTTAGGCATAGTGTCTTCCTTCAAACCAACAGCAAACGCGAAGTTATACGCCTCTCCCGACGACGGGAAAAACGTGATATACCGATCGAAAGCAGCTCAACTGAGTGCCCACCACCAATCGAGATCGCAGCTGCGGAAATCGCAGAGCATGAGGTCAGGATCGAGCTTCAAACCAGGGCCGGCCACGCCCACAACCCCAACGCAACCGCAACCACCTCAACAGACCAACCCTTATGCTCAACCCATCAGGGCCAGCAGGTCCAATTCTACTGGTAAGAAACATTGACAAATAAATTCATCAGTCCCTTTTGATCAACGAATTCGGACTAGGTAGAGGGAGAAGGGACTTATCAAGTCAAGTCGCTTGATATTTTCACTTGGTTTGACTTCAAAATAGAGTTATTTGAAATGTTAATGCTTGACTTCGCCTGGCTTTTTATTGTTCTGCATAACTTGAAGCTAAGCATTTGATACTTTATGGCGAATTATATTTTTGTTCTCGTAAGAAAATTAAGTGATATTTACTTATACAACCGATGAGCCATATTTTGAGTTTGCAATCCACCAACCACTCCAACCTTGACACATTTTGGTGAACATCGTGTCATATGCTTATCTCCAACCGTATTTTAATCAAACTTCCTCTATTGATCTATAACATTTACAGGTTCCCGGGAAAGGAGGAAAAAGATAGTTCAAAGCAAATCAGCCAACAGCATGGTAAAACTAGCGCAAGGAGTTACGCCTTCGATACCAGAGCCAGACTACAGTTGTACAGACTCAGAAGTTGAGAGCGACGAGGAGAGGAAAGAGCCAGAATCTTTGGCAGCCAGGATCAGTTCGGTGCATCTGCAGCCTGTTGAGAACAGTGGAAATAGTAATACGAGGTGAGGAGTGACTTAGTTTTTATCGCCAAATAGGACATGAGGTTCGACGTTTCAAAATCATCAAACATTTTTTATGTATCTATAATTTTGGCACAAGGTGTTTTTTAGACGAATTTGAGGTCACTCATAACGAAAATGACTCTCATTTATATTTTTTTGCCGCGATTTTTGCAAAAAACGTGTTTTTGTTCCATAGTGCAGTTATTACCGGAAATCTCGAATGCGGTAGGCATTATTTGTTTAACTTTCAAGAGCCACATATATTCCCTTCACTGCAATATATGATTTGTGTCAGTCAAAATCGTAGTGATCGCAAGATAGCCATCGAAAGTTGAAAAACAGGCATCTTTGAGGCATTTTTGAAAATTATCAAACTCTATTGACTTTTGTCGGGGCAAAAAATTTGTTCATGCTAACGTAAATTATGCAGACTTAAAGATATACTAGGTGACATATAAATCCGAACACCTAGTTTAAATGGTTTTATTTTAATAAAAGTTGGTGAATGTATTTATCTTACTGTAAATAACAAGTGGATAAATTTTCAGCCTTATCAGTTGGACCTTCCGGTTTTTATACTGCTTTTTTTAATTCACTAACGCTCTAAAAATAAATATTTCAGCCGCAGTAAAGAATCAACGTTGGCGGATTTTGATTCTTGACATCCTTTACGATCGGTGACGATGCCTAGAGTACGGAGACCTGTACGATTTCGTCAAGTTAGTGAGTTTGATAGGGGCCGTATAGTGGGACTTCTGGAAGCTGGACTTTCTTTTCGGGCAATTGCAGTTAGAGTGCAAAGAAGTGTAGACACTGTGGTTAAGTGTTGTCAGGCATGGCTTCGAGAAGGCCGTACGCAAAGAGCAAGGGGCACTGGACGCCGCCGTAGAACAACAGACCGTGAAGATCGCCGCCTAAGATTATTGGCCTTAAGGGACCGTTTTTTCACTACCAGGTCCATTGCAAATGAATGGTTTGCAGAACACGGAAGGCCTATTGGCATGCGAAGTGTTTACCGACGAATGAGAAGTTTTGGCTTGTTTTCATACCGGCCACACTGGGTCCTCCCTTTAACTCGAGAACACCGACGTAATCGCCTTGAGTGGTGCAGACAACGGTCACTCTGGGATCGGGAATGGAACAGTATTGTCTTTAGTGACGAGTCTCGATTTTGTTTAGGCATGCACGATGGTCGTGCCAGGGTTAGAAGGCGACGTGGTGAAAGGAGGAATCCACAGTTTTTTGTTGAAAGACATGTTCATCACACTGTTGGAGTTATGGTTTGGGGTGCTATAGCTTATGGTTCCAGGTCACATTTAATCTTCATCAGAGGTAACATGAACGCGCAGCGTTATATCCACGAAGTTCTAGAACCCCATCTTTTACCCTATCTTGACACCCTGGCAGATCCAACTTTCCAACAAGATAATGCCCGACCACATGTTGCAAGAGTCACAATAGACTTCTTTCAACATAATGATGTCACATTGTTACCATGGCCACCAAGATCTTCCGACTTATCCCCAATTGAGCACGTGTGGGATATGATGGGTAGGAGATTGCTCAATTTGCAACGTCCTCCTCAGACTCTAGAAGCACTTCGAGAGGAGTTTGTGGTTGCCTGGAATGAGATACCACAGGAGGACATTGACCACCTGATCAGAAGCATGCCTAAGCGCGTTGGAGAAGGCGTAGCACATCAGGGTGCATCCACACATTATTAAAGGTCAAAGGGCTTTAAAGCAGTGCAATCATTTTGAAATTTTTATCAGATTCAGATTCAGATTCAGATTCATTTATTGATCCAGTTAGATCTACATTGTAGACATTGGATAAGTCGGTGTATACAGATTAAACTATAGATAAAAGGAAGTGAAATACAAATAACAATATAATAAATAAGAACATAAAAAAAACCATATGATACACACATGGCTATAAATTATTTGTTAAGATCTATCAGAAGCACTGTGGAATGTGACAAATTCACCTAGGTCATAAAAACCGCAGTCCGATAGCTTGTTCCGCAAACGTCTTTTGAAAAGCCCTACGGAGTTTACGTTTTTGATCTCCGGAGGTAATAAATTAAAAAAGTATATTCCTGCTGTTATGGGAGATTTTGAATGAAACTTATGATATGACACATGCCTAACTATATTATTTTTATTACGAGTGCTGTAGTCATGGATGTCAGCATGCTTAAGATAATCATTTCTGTGCTGAAAAATATATGTTAAAAGATTATAAAGATATATACATGCTACTGTAAGTATTTTGTGTTTAACAAATATCTCACGACAGGAGGATCTGGACCGTATTTTAAATATAATGCGAATGATTCTTTTTTGTAAGACAAACACTCTAGAGATTTCACTAGCCTGGCCCCACGCAGTAATGCCATATGAAATGACAGAGTGTACACATGCATAGTAGACATCCATTAATGCTGAGGTGTTCATCATCATTTACTTATTATGCTTCATTAAGTACTTATACAAAATTTTATTAAAATAAAACCATTTAAACTGGGTGTTCGGATTTATATGTCACTTAGTATAATTTTGTCACCTATATAACAAGCCCAAGTTTGTCTGAATCCGACAAAAAAATGTGGAAGTTATGACGCGTACCGTGAACACATGCGATTTTACAGTATTTGACACAGTTACATTCAGCGGCTAAAATACGCTTTCAATCTCAAACTTTTTCACTTATGTTGCCTGGAATCTTCACGTATTTGCATTCAGCATCCTTGATCCCAAAAGTCTTCATAATGCTTTTCAATCGCAGCAATATCTTGACGAAATCGCTCGCCTTGTTCATCACTTTCAGCACCCAAATTCGTAGGCAAAAATCCACGGTTTCTCTCCTTTTTTTGCTCGTAAACTACTAAGATGTTTTGTCGGGCACTTTCTTTGAATATACAGGGTGACTTCGAAGTTGAGTCATTTATTTTAACAGTGAGTAGATCTGATCAAAAGAAATGTTTTTTTCCTTTAACATTTTTCTGGTAAAATTAAAGTAACAAAGTTATAGCCCTTTAGAAGTTTGAGTACCGCCCTGTCTCAATAATAATATTATGTGCTGGTGTTTGGCAACAACGGATATATCGGTTCATCGCATCGGAAACAAAAAAGCGAAAGAATTTGAAACGTTTATCACGATGTTTTTCCTTATTCGGTAACGCGTGAGTGAATAGTGGTGTTTGTTGCGTGGCTCAAACGAAATAAAAAAATGGCACATGTTTACGAAAATGCTGAACTTGTGGACATGATTCTTATTTACGGGGGGGGAGTCTTTACAAAATGCTGCCTCGGCATCACGGATTTGTGCGAATCGGTTTCTCAATCGAGTGCAACCAACCCCTCGTGCCTTTATTAATGTAGTACAAAGGGCTCGTGAATCAGGTGACTTAAGACCTCACAGGGGAGAGAATGCCGGTACTCCAAGACCGCACGATCAAATACAGGTCCGCACTGAAATACTTGTCGGGAGGATACTTTATAAAACAAGGTAACATTTCCTTTTTATTTTTTTTTTATTTTTACACACATATTTTGGTTTATCTTCCTTCTACAATCATTATCTGAAAATTAATGACTCAACTTCAAAGTATATGTTACCGGCAATCCGTATAATCCGGTATTCTATAGAATACCTAGGTAATATATAGAATACCTAAACTGTAATGTATGTAAACGACGAGAGCAAGGAACGGGTTTTGCTCAAAGGGAAGGAGTGGTTTCCAGCAATATCAGCTGCCAAACGGCTACAAGGCAGCTACAAAACAAAACTGGAGGAGTGTGAATGGTGGTTCCCCGCAATGCCTTCCCACGCTGAAGGTTAAAGGCCCATAAGAAAATGGACCGGGTAGCACCCAAACCAAAACAACTTAACGTAAGGTACCACATAAAAAGGATACTACTGCATGAAGTGGTGTTTGGGGTCTAATATCCCAGAATCTGGAAGTAACGAAACGACACCGACACCACAATCTCCGCAGGAAAGTAAAAAAAATTGATGATTTTAATAAAGTTGATTTTATATGTATGCCAGTTAACATTGATACATTTGGACCAAGATCTCTTGATTTTACATAATTCCGGTAGAACAGCAGGTACTCTATACAATCTCTATTCATTTCATTATTTCATACACTGCCTGGGCAACCCAGGTATTCTATACATTGCCTAGCTGTTGTATAGAATACCTGATGTATACATATTACCGGTAACATATACAAACCACAAATAGAACAGAACATATGCAGTTCGTGCTTGCACATTTCGGTGTATTTTCTCATAACACAGATGTCATCAAAACACGGAAACAAACGCGAAAACAAAAGTGACAGTTAACAATTATAAATGTATGAACAAAACAAACTGAAACACATTGACACACTCCACAGTTGGGCGTCGCTCCAGCAGTGTTGCATTTTACCGACAAAGAGTTCCTCCTGTGCAATCTTTGGAATAGTAAACGGTCGATACAGATTTCCACATAAAATGAAGATTAAATTTAATTATAGTGACCCTCAGGACAGTAACCTAGCGTGGCTCAATCCACAAGCTAAAATTATTTTGTTCAGGACAGTATAGATCGAGAGTTAATACGCTAAACAATATCAAATTGTCTTGATTTACATAATACGTCATAACTTTCACATATTATGTCCGTGTGCTCAATATGTAGATGGGAAAATCACCTTCTAGCTTAGATAATGTATGTTACTTGAAAAAAATGTGTTGCTTCTAAAAAAGTTAATAAGCCACGATAATTTTCAAAAATGCCCTTTCTTCAACTTTCAACGAACACTACGAGTTCGATCGAGACAAACTATATATTGCCGTAAATGGAATATGTGTGCCTTTCGAAAATAACACACTTCAAAATCAATAGCATCGTTTCCGAGATTTCAGGTTATAACCGCACTAGGGTACAATAAACAGGGTTTTGGCAAAAATCTCAAGAAAGGTTCTTTGGAAAAATAAATAAGTCATTTTCGTTTTCAACGACCTCAAATTAGTCGAGGTATATTTTTGAAACAAAATTTGTAAACTAGTGTTATTCCAGAGTGTCAAGTTTTTCATTTCAAATCCAAGTACCATTTATTTCTTGGATCTACATTATCAAGATCAAAAAATATTTCTGTTGGTATACCACAAGGTAGGTCCACTACTATTTATTTTATACATTAATGATATTTGTAATATTTTAGATTATTGTAAACTTCATTTATTTGCAGATGATACATTAATATACATATCAGATAAAAATATAGACATTGCTTTAAAAATGCTAAATTCTGACTTGAAAAAAATCATAAATTGGTTAAATGTAAATAAACTAAAATTGAATACTTCTAAAACAAAATGTATGCTAATAGGGAAATACCTAAACGAAAATACTATCACGCTTAGGACAAATGGATAAATAATTGAAAATGTTGAACCAATTAAATATTTAGGTATATATATTGATAGTAAACTAAAGTTTGAGGATCACTATGTATAGATTATTTCAAAAATTGCCAAAAAAACAAATTACTTTTTAGGGTTTCTCATAGTCTTGGTACCTATTCCAAGAAAATAGTTTATAATACAACTATTCTACCGCATTTACTATATTGTTCAACTATCTTGTTCACTGTCAGTGATGCTGTATTCTCAAAATGTCTTGCAAGATAAAGCTATGAGAATAATATTGAGTAAAAATCACTACACCAAAATAAAATCTATGTTATAAGAATTGCAGTGGTTGAGTGAAAAAATTTCATATCATATTTGGTTCTTATTTTTATATTTAAAATAAAAAATCGTCTTTTGCCAGAACATTTAGAACACTATATAGAATTGAATAATCATTACCACAATTATTATATAAGGGGAAATATAGATTTTCATTTACAAAATTGCAATAGTAATATAACTAGCAAATCAATATTTCAGAAAGGATTACTTGAATTTAATAAACTAAATAATGATATAAAGTCTACTTGTAATTTAAAGATGTTTAAAAGAAAATTAATGGAATATTTCATGGACAATGAAAATTTTTAGAGATGCAAGTTTTGTTTTTTTTTTAATGTCTGTATGGTATGTAATTGTTTAGTTTTTAAGAAGAATGTAATTGTAGCAATCATGCTAAATAAATCGTGAACAACAAACAACAACAACTGTCATGAGAGGAAAGAAATACACCATGTAATTGTAAGAAACATGTCAAACTGGAAAAAGACATGTAAAATTTGGAGCCATGGAGGATAACAAGTGGAATTTTGCATTGATGAACTTCAAAGTTTCCAATGTACTATTGAGCAATATTACCAAAAGCTCTTGCCTATTTTCAGTCTCAACCAAAAACCGCCTTTTTGCCTTTTATATAAACTAAGTGACATATAAATCCGAACACTCAGTTTAAATGGTTTTATTTTAATAAAATTTTGTATAAGTACTTAATGAAATATAATAAGTAAATGATAAAAATTTCAAAATGATTGCACTGCTTTAAAGCCCTTTGACCTTTAATAATGTGTGGATGCACCCTGATGTGCTACGCATTCTCCAACGCGCCTAGGCATGCTTCTGATCAGGTGGTCAATGTTCTCCTGTGGTATCTCATTCCAGGCAACCACCAATTCCTCTCGAAGTGCTTCTAGAGTCTGAGCAGGACGTTGCAAATTGAGCAATCTCCTACCCATCATATCCCACACGTGCTCAATTGGGGATAAGTCGGGAGATCTTGGTGGCCATGGTAACAATGTGACATCATTATGTTGAAAGAAGTCTATTGTGACTCTTGCAACATGTGGTCGGGCATTATCTTGTTGGAAAGTTGGATGGGCTTCTAGAACTTCGTGGATATAACGCTGCGCGTTCATGTTACCTCTGATGAAGATTAAAGGTGACCTGGAACCATAAGCTATAGCACCCCAAACCATAACTCCAACAGTGTGATGAACATGTCTTTCAACAAAAAACTGTGGATTCCTCCTTTCACCACGTCGCCTTCTAACCCTGGCACGACCATCGTGCATGCCTAAACAAAATCGAGACTCGTCACTAAAGACAATACTGTTCCATTCCTGATCCCAGAGTGACCGTTGTCTGCACCACTCAAGGCGATTACGTCGGTGTTCTCGAGTTAAAGGGAGGACCCAGTGTGGCCGGTATGAAAACAAGCCAAAACTTCTCATTCGTCGGTAAACACTTCGCATGCCAATAGGTCTTCCGTGTTCTGCAAACCATTCATTTGCAATGGACCTGGTAGTGGAGAAACGGTCCCTTAAGGCCAATAATCTTAGGCGGCGATCTTCACGGTCTGTTGTTCTACGGCGGCGTCCAGTGCCCCTTGCTCTTTGCGTACGGTCTTCTCGAAGCCATGCCTGACAACACCTAACCACTGTGTCTACACTTCTTTGCACTCTAACTGCAATTGCCCGAAAAGAAGGACCAGCTTCCCGAAGTCCCACTATACGGCCCCTATCAAACTCATAAGTTGACGAAATCGTACAGGTCTCCGTACTCTAGGCATTGTAACCGATCGTAAAGGATGTCAAGAACCAAAAGCCGCCAGCGTTGATTCTTTACTGCGGCTGAAATATTCATTTTTAGAGCGTTAGTGAATTAAAAAAAAGCAGTATAAAAACCGGAATGTCCAACTGATAAGGCTGAAAATTTTTTCACTTGTTAGTTACAGTAAGATAGATACATTCACCAACTTTTATTAAAATAAAACCATGTAAACTGGGTGTTCGGATTTATATGTCACTTAGTATAAATCTGATGTCAATTTCTCGCATCCTCGAGTCCCTTGGTTTTCATAGATATTAAAACAGAACGCATTTACGTTTAGTCTCACTGGACTAACGAAACATATTTTCTTCTTACAGTGGTAGCAGTTCCGGAAGTACCTCACTACCGCACAGTTTCAGTGTAGAAGAAATCCAACGAGGCAGGCTGCTACTGAAGTCCTCGAAATCGTATCCTGACGAGCTCCTGAAGAAACAAAAGGAACCCGACGGCAAGGACGGCCACCTAGAAGATGGTGACAACAGCTCTTCCGGAGTCAGTTCTGACCAGGAAACGGCTGCAGGTGGAGGAGGAGAGTACGCGGAAGGAGGGGTCAGTGTTGCTGTGAAGGGACAAAGGGCACAGATTGGTAAGATCCTGGAAGTTAACTATCTTAATTTGGAGATGTTTGAATCTAGAGGTCAAAATGTCAGAACCAATTTTCTTTTTCTGAGACCGTAACAAAACGATTAATATTGAGGACTATCTGGAAGTTCTTTCCAGTACAGAAACAGCTACGCCCAAAATAACAAAGCTAATGTTGTTTGAAACAGTACGAAAAAAGTAAAAGATGGAGCGAAGCGCCACCCTGTCGTATTTTGCTTGCAAATACTGTTCGAGGATGTCTATGTTCGACTGAAAAACACAAAGTCGACTTCTGTCTCGATTTTCGTTATTTGAAGCTGTCTTGGTATATTTAACTGTGTCCATCTAGACTTTCTTACAAGCGGCCTTGATATGAAATAAATAAAACTACGCATCGCAGGAGGTAAACGTCCAAGATAATCAACTGGATACACTAAGAAAGCATCATCAGGATCTTGCAAACGCTGTAAACCAACTTCCATATATGTTCCATAAGCACGTATCTTGGTTTATCTTCACAGTGCACGTCGTATCTGCTTACCTGATAATTTTTACTGGAGACAGGGCCGAAGTCTTTACTGTTTGACGAGCATTATGAATACGTTATTCCAAAAATATCAAAAAAGCTAAATTACTCCTATAGAGTTTCCCATAATCTTAATATGTATTCCAAAAAAATAACATATAACATTATAATTCTTCCACATTTTTTATATTGTTCAACCATCTTGTTTACAGCAAATGAAATCATATTTTTAAAATTACAATTCTACAAAATAAATCATTTTAAATTAACAAAAATGCCAGAATTAAGTGTATGTTAGAAGAACTACAGTGGTTGAATGTGAAAAATTTCATATATGTTATTTAGTTCTCATTTTCATATTTAAATTAAAAAATCATTTATTACCACCACATCTAGAAAAACTTAAAACTACGAAACTAGAGGCAGTATAGATTTTAATCTGCAAAATTGTAATAGCAGCATAAATAGCAAATCTGTATTTCAAAAGGGGGTATTTGAATTTAATCCATTGAATAATGATATAAAACAGTGTTCGAATTTAAAAATGTTTAAGGTGAAATAAAAAGCTGTCTTTATGAATACTCAAAATGCATAGTGATGAAATTTTAATAGACAATAATGCAAAATTACAGAAAACCAATTAAAAAAAATGTGCAAACGACATCATAAAACTTTTCGCAACTTAATTTAATATCTCCTAATTGAAGGACAATATTGGAGCGGGCAATTTTTGTCAATCTTAAAGGAAAACATCAAATAAGCATATATCCTAAACGTCTTAACATTAGAGATGCAGGGTGAAAAAGTTTTGAAAAATATGTAACCACACCACATCAGATATATTAATGAAATTTTGCATACATCTACTATGTATCACAAGGTATTTTTATTGTACCACATTTCTTCTAATGTCCACCAGTGGCGTTCGTATGGAATTACACCTGCCTATTTTGGCAGACATTGATGGTACGCCACTGATTTCACTTGAAATAAAAATTGTCCCTGAAATCTCGAATCATTTCTAAGTAAATTTGATCGTTCAATTTTTTCATTCTGATGCACGGTTTCTGCTGAAAAGGGTAGAAACAGTTTCTGGTCATAATGATATCGTTAATTTGACAATATTACCGATTTTATTTTCTTAGGTGATGACCGTGCATCGGATTAACACGTTCAGTGCGAACAGCGTCAAAAGACGCCCTCCGCTCCTGTGGTGGGAGGCGAACGGCGTCTTTGGACGCTCTCTGCCGGCTTCCAAAAAAAGTATTTCAGTTTCTGAGGTGGGTATCCTCATCCCAGTTCGCAGTCAATATGTTAAAAGAAAATCAAAAGATGAAATCTGCTCAATAGTGAATACAGATTTCATTTTAAGAAATGTCAGGGTAGCGCCAAATGATACATTTTTAGAAACTTTACCACCCTGTATCTCAAAATTTAAGATATTCAAGTCATACGTTCATACGTTTTCCATCTAAAATGACCCCACACCATCCTAAAGTATTGACATTTAATTAGGAAACACCCTGTATACTAGTTATCTTAGGACTTTGGTGCATGTTTCACTAGGAAAATTTGCGTATTCTCACAAGAACTACACTAGATGAAGAACAGTCACAACTTTAAAAACATCTTGCATAACTAATGTGAAGATCATAACCTTTATCGAACTTGGTATCGAATTACGTAATAATCAAATAACTTGACTGGCCTCATTACGTACTTCATACATTCATAAATTCTCTCATCTTCCTTCCAGGTATGCTGAAACGCCACGCAGTTTCGCTCGCTCAACTTCCGCCGCCTATCGAGAACGAGAACGACGAAAAAGAGGAACTATGCTCGTTACCTCCTCCCCCCGAATACATCAGCACCGAAAACGCCACCTCGTTCGGCGAGGAGATCGTTGTAGCTCCGCCTCCTCAGTTCAGCGATAACAGGCAGGTGACGCGCGTGCGCATTGTAGGGGCGGTGCCTAAAAGCCCGCCCAACGGCCCAGCAACCAATGTCAAACAGGGACGGTTGCACAGCCAGTAGGAGAAAGAGGCGGAGACAAATCGTAGCGCCGCCTCCCACGGCGTTCACGTAGTGGGGTGATGTCAGAGGGTCCTCCCAATGGCCAGCAGGAGGACGAGCGAGCAGTTAAGTGACACACAAGCAGAGACTGATATTTAAGCGGGGAGGTCTAGTGCTGTTGCTGAGAATAGGCTGAGTTTTTGCAGTAGAGGGAATTTTGAGCGTGTTCTATTCAAATATGATTTTGTGAGATTTTTCTTTTTACATCAGCAGTTGGCATGTTAATACACAAATTTATCTGCACTGAAAATATACTTTTAAAGTTAAACACCAGGAACATATTTCTAACCTTTCATAAACCTTATTTAAATATTCTCTTTTCTAGACATTTCATTTCATGTTCTAGCAAGGTCGTATGGGAATAGACTCAATTTTTAATTCTCAGCTACTGCGAGAACATTTATTTCATACAATGATTGGAGACTGAATGTGGAAATTTTTGCAGAGATTGTAACACTACAGGCTGTAATGTTAAATAATGTGAAAAGGTGGTATTTTCTTCATGAATACTGACGCGATAATTAAAAAGGTAACATAAACTTAACGAAGAACATTTCATACAAAATATTGCAAATACAGAAAGGGTGGTGTATTTATCTCACTTTGATTTCATTATATACAGGACTTGACCCTCCTCAAGGTCATACCGTGCCAAAACTTTCATAAAATGTTAGATGTCACTCATCAGATTTATGTCAAAAGGTACGAAGCTAAATTCGATATTCAGACATCGTTTTTAACGATACTTTATCCGCTATTTGTGTTGGTGTGAAGATCGTGAAGAAAATACCCAATCTGCTATACCTAGTTAGAATTTTCCTACACAACCTAGAATTTTATAGCACGAGAGGCGCTTTTTTACAAATTTAATACTCACTTTGTATCGGTAATCCAATTTTTAGGGAATATCGTCAATTTCATAGCTATCTTTTATCATTAATCCAAACAATATCAATATATCCAGCACTGATGCATTATACGATTATCACCTAAGAAACCTTCAGCATAATCAATGAAATTTGGGTTAGTAACGCTGGTAGAAAAATTAATTATTTCGTTCAAGTTAGTTAGCATAATTGAAGAGATCTACGCTTTTAAACTATTGCAGCAGTTTTTGCTAAACTAAACACACCACAAAGTATCATCTCTATTATTTGAATCGCATGTTAAAATTCTACACCCTCAGCAGGAAGTGTGGAACTGTATTATATAGGGTGTTCCATCCGTTTCTTCTTTTTTTAATCTTTAAAAATACACTTTTTATGATTGAGAAACTGAACTCTTTATTGAAAAGTGTAGGTCGGTCTTTGCCATTTATGTGTGGAATATAACATCGCAGATACGTCCACCGCTTAAGGACTTGGATCGTGCGTGGGGCAATCGAGTTCACTTTGCTTTTCAAAAATCCTCAGAGAAAATAGTCCAGTGGTGTTAAGTCGCACGATCTTGGAGGCCAATTCAAGTCGGAATTTCTCGAAATAATGCGATCTGGAAAATTCTCGGCCAATAACTGGACAGAGGTCGTTGCCATCAATACCTTCCAATTTTGGTCAAAAAAAATCCGTTATCATACCACGATAACGTTCGGCGGTGACCGTTACGGCTTTTTCTTCTTCATCCTCGAAGAATAACGGTCCAATAATCCGCACCAAACAGTTACTATTTGATCATGGAGAGGTTGTTCATGGATCTGGTGTGGATTTTCCGAACCGCAATTCCTACACTTTTGCTTATTTACGTGGCCACTCAGGTAAAAAGCCGAAAATCCCTATCCTTTTTCAATCGTCCAATTAACAAAGATACGCCGTTGCTGATGGTCCGCTGGCTCCAATTGTTGAGTTAGTTGGATCTTGTATGGGTATAGGTGGAGATCAACATGCAAAATCCTCCATAATGTTGTTGACCTGATGTCCAATTCTTGCGAAAGTGTCTTATCGAAGTTGATGGCTGTACATGAACACTTTCACTCACAGCGGCCATTAATTCACGTGTACGTACCGGACGGGCATGCTGATATGTTCTACGACCTTCAACTGAACCAGTGTCCTCAAAACGATTGATAATCCACCGAATTCCGCGCACTGTGGGACGATTATGTCGACCAAATTCATCACGAAAAGTACGTTTTAAAGATCGTCCGTTTTCATAATATTTTTGGACGGCCAAAATGCATTCTTGCCTGGTTAAAGAATCCATAATAACAAATGGCAGACCTTTGACAATTCATATGTGCTAAATACTGTCACTGCTGACATCCGTCGGAAAATTTCTGAAAAGAGCGCTGCGATAAAGCAAGCAAAAAGGTCTTGTCATCCTGATGACATTCGTAGAGCGACGAATCTCGTCCGTGAAATCAGAAATGCACTCCATGAATTCCGTAATGAGCAGTGGAGCGGCTTTCTGACGGGGATGCTTGAATCAAGTATTCCTCTCTAGCAAAATCGCTCAGAAACGGAAGGCAAGAACAACTACCACATATTCATGGTCCTGGAGGCATAGTTTTCAGGACTGAGGATAAAGTGGAGGTTTTTGCTGACGTCATGGAAAGGAAGTTCTCTCCCAATTATGATCTGGACAATGACCTTGACGAGGAACGACAAATTGTAAGACCTTTCAGGAGATATTTCAGAGCGAATGGCGACAACAACGTCAGTGACTCTTTTTAGAAGATTCTTCTACGGAAGACTCGTCAGATGAATCTCAGCATAGCACATCAACGGAATCCTATGAGATTCCATTTTGCACACCAGTAGAGCTCCAAGGCCACATTAAGGACCTAAAGGTGTGTAAAGCACCTGGAGAGAAACAAATCACCAACAAAGCACTGAAGTTGTTTTCGCTCAAGGCTTTGACTTATCTGGTGGCAATAATCAATGCAATGCTCAGAACTCATTACTTTCCTAAGGCGTGGAAGATCGCTGAAGTAATTATGATCCCAAAGAAGGCAGGTTCGTTATTCCCCCAGGATTATCGTCCCATTAGCCTGCTGTCTGCTGAAGAGGTGATTTATCGTCACCTTGAGAATTTCTCGTCAGATCACCATGTGATTCCTGACGTGCAATTTGACTTTCGGTCTGAGCATAGTACGGAGCTTCAGGCAATTAGACTGGTAGAGCATGTAACCAGGGGATTTACCCTGAACAAAGGTACTCTTATCTTGCTTTTAGATGTATCAAAGGCATTTGACAAGGGCCTCTTGTATAAGCTCATCCTCAACGTTTTTCCATTTTGGCTTCTAAAACTGTTAAAATATTTTCTAGAAGAAAGGAAGTTTTGGATCAAAATCAACTATGTATTGTCAACAACACGGCCCCCGTAAGAGCCGGTGTTCCTCAGGGTTCGGTCTTAGGACCAATCCTTTATTCACTTTATATACATCCCAGCAACTGTGAAGTCCATCTCTATGCTGATGACACTGCACTGCTAGCTGAGTCTTATTCTGGTAACCTGGTTCACGACAGGCTGCAGAACGCGGTGGAGGAAGTACTGGAGTAGGCGGATCGGTGGTTGATCAAAATTAATACTTCGAAAACGCAGGCAAGCTGTTGTACTAGAAAACGTCGCGGTGCCCCCTCAGAGAATATCAGTCAATGGAACTCGTATACCATGCGAACAATCTTTCAGGTACCTTAGACTGATCATTGACAAGGGGTTGACCTGGCAGAAACGTACTGATATTTTAAATTGACCTGGCAGAAACGTACTGATATTTTAAAAACGAAATTCCAAATTACCTTCCGGCAGCTTTGTCCTTTGTTGTGCAGAAATTCAAAATTAAGTTTGATCAACAAGATATGGTTATACGTATATAAAATGGTTATAAGACCCGCATACACCTACGCATGCGCGGCTTGGTGTTTTCTTGCCCAGACGCACATGCAGAGACTGCAAGTCCTGCAAAACAGAATCCTACGCACAATCACTAACGCCTCTTGGTACGTGTCAAATGCGACCATTCACACAGATCTTGATATCCCCTATCTAAGAGATTATGTAAAACAACAGACACGGCGGCATTATAATCAATCAGAGTCGCACAGCAACCCTCTGTTGCGTGACTACACAGTCGAGCAAGTTCGCAAACATTCCAGGCCGCGCCTCGCACTGTGATCAAAATTAAATTGTTAATCCAGACCAGCCAAAACTATTTCAGTATACAAAGCCGTACAAAATTATTTTCTGGAATTACAAAATTATTCGAGTAGTCAAAGCAATAATCCTTAAGATATTTCAAATGATTTACTTCTTTTCTTTGCTCTATCTCTTCCTTCCTTTCTTGCCTTCTTTCCCTTTTCCCATTAACATGTTTGGTATCTGGGTAGCCAGAGCTGACAAACTAACAGACCGACGAGATTTTTAACTAAGAGCAAAGGTCCACCGGACCGCTCTGACGAATAATGACGAATAGTATGTGCGGAAGACATGACAGTTGACACATTTAACATGTCAGAAAATGGTAGTTGAACAAAGAAGCAATAGATGGAACACCTTTTATTATTCACAAGAATTGAAGTGAGTTCATGCAATGATTATTCTGAAGGTTACCACCGTTGAAGTTTGATTTCAAAGATTAAATCGCTATTCTGTCAAGCCTATCATAGGTCTTGGATCAGTTTCACTTTTCAGGTTTTGGAGTCAAATTTCTACAAAAATTACTGAGCAAAGTAAATAGATGGACTGATGTATCTAATTTTCACTACAGCCTAAAATAGCAATAGCCATGATTAGGCAATTTTACTAAGTAGATAAGCACCTTTTGTAAGTTTTATTTGAAATTTTCTCATCGTTTTAACATGTGTATCAGTTACGCTTTTAAAATTGTTTATTTAAAAAATGAGAATTTATCGAATAAGTGCATTCTAAGAAAATTCCGTCATACCATATATATCCTGCCAAAATGAATTCATATATAAAAATGATATTTTTGAATGTACTCTTGACTGTATTTGCGTGTGATTCGTTATTGCTCATGAATATAAAATTGTTTAAATTTTATTTTTGCCTTGGGTTTTAATAACATCTACATATTGAAGTATATATTACAACTGATATATAGGTAAATCGACAAACGATTTGCGTTGAAGAATCACTTCCTGTTTCAGTGCCAAGAATGTTGCATTTACGAAATCTGATTAAAAAATCATGGATACCATATAAGAGGCCTTCCATCAGGGAAAGGTTGTAAAAAAATAATATTTCAGATTTTTCAATGTTTTAGAACGTTTTGCCTTCTAACCCCACTATCGCAAAATGGAACTACATTAGTCTAGTCATATTAGACGAAAATATCCTTGGTTTGCGAGATAATATAATTGTAAAGTCTGGTTTTATTACTGCAAGCTGTTCAACAGGGTCTTCAAAACATGACGCATAAAATGAGTATACCAATTCTTGAGGGAAAATTTTTTATGAGACAACCAAGAATGAGAAACCGTGTGTTTTAGGATTCAATCGAAACTGTTGGCAGGAACGAAAAAACTCATCATATAAGATTTTTAGGTATTTATGAGCCATAACATACTTGCTATTAGTCGGAACTTTTTACGTGTGGTCTCATCTTGTAGGTCTCATAAATATCTAAAAATCCTATATGAAAAGTTTTTCCGCTACTGTCAACACTTGCGATTGAATCTCAAATAACACGTTTTCTCATTCTTTGTTGTCAAATAAAAAGTTTTCCCACAAAAATTGGTGTACCCATTTCATGCGTCATTGTTTTAAATATCCGATTGAACAACTTGCACCAATAAAACCAGAATTTACAATTATTTCGGAGAAATTTGTTAATATGATTAGACTACAAGGGAGCCTCCATCTTTCATGATTTTTTAACACTTCCGATTTCGACTGAACCGCTTCAGTGACTTTATACCTATCCTTAGAGAAATGTGTTAATATTTTGTTACGTTTGTGTATGTAAGTATAATTCTTGTATTATTTGTTTGTACGATATATGCTCAAATATCTACCTACCTATTGCTATGCCCTTAATCTGTGTAAATAAGTGTACGTCTGGGGATAAAGGAGCAGTTGCTGTATGACGCATTTTCGTATAGCAACTGCCTGGTTTCTATTGCAACTGCGATCGCTACATGGTTTTGATAGAAACAAGGGTCAGGTGTCAAGCATTTTCAAGCGAGTCATAAATTATATGCAGAAAAAAACAAAAAATGACAAAAAGTTTGATTAAGACGATAGTAATCTTAATCGTTTTTCACGTCCTCCGTCATATTTTGAAAGTTTGGATATACTACCTGACATCTGACCTCAAGTCGGTATATTTCTTCTGAATTTGTATAATTTTCTGTACCTATTTATTTATAAATGCTAACAAGTAAGGGTGCACATTTCATGTACTTCGTTGTTACATCAATTTGAATTTTAAATAGAAATACACGAATACAGTTCATGACAGATTTTTATCTATATTGGAATCAATACTTTGTGGAATCTCAACAAGTAGATCCGCCTCAAATTGAACAAATTGTATTTTTAGTTGATTTAGATCGGTCAAAATTCAACTTCAGTAAAAGGTTACTTTTTTACAATTTTGAAAATTGTTTTCCAAATCCTTTTTGTCAAGAATTTTTCAGTGCGTGTTAACGTCCAACACTTAGATTTTTCTCTTTTGTAATAAATGCTTAGAAAATATGAGTCATTGCCATATTCCATATTAAAAAAAATTTTGTTTTAAAAAATTAGTTTTTTGATGATGAAATATTGCAATTTTTTGTTTAACCTTTTGCTGCAGGTTTGACGTAATTTGAAGGCGCCAAAAATGTGAATGCTCATCTTTTGGTGTTATATGCCATTGATAGACGTACCTTACTAGAAGTAAATCTTTGTGTGATAACTACTTTATTTGCCGCCAAAATAATCATTCTTCCTGATTGATAGTTAAATTCGCTATGTTTAAAAAATCATTAAAAAGTATTTTTGTAGGATTTAGTTCACCCACATTTAAAATGTACTTGCAATAAAACTTTTTGTATATATATTTAATACTATGAAACAAGTATATAATGTGAGTTGTGTTTTATTTTTTCCCGCTTATTAAATATTGATAGAATAGTCCGTGGAGAATTGAGACGTACAACCTTTGAGTGTGAGGGTAGACCATGGATCTTTAGGACGGTATAGACTGGGAGGAATTGAGTGTGCAAAATGTGAGGACCGCACTTTATCAACAACTGGGAAGAGGCTAAAGAGTAATATTATGGCCCTTGCCTTGCCACCTTTTGGTCAGTTCATTTCAAAAAAAATTTTTCTTCGAGACAATTTTTTTTTGTGATTTCCCGGATCACTCCGGACTGCTCTAACTTTTCTCTGAAGTTAGTCATTTCCGAGGCGCTAGAAGTATGAAAAACCTTAAGAATGCTCATCCTCAATGATTTAAAACTCTGTTTAGAATCATTATTTTTGAGGTACCAACACATCTCGTCAATAGCGGGAAAAAGCTAGTCTATTATGTTTAAGGCTCATCTCATCACTTTGTATAAGGCCTAGATAATACCTTGCCTCGAATACTGCTCACTTGTTTGGGGTGCTGTTACCCCGATTACATTATCCATGCTGATCAGGGGAGGGATGTCCGACTCATCGATGACTCTGCTCTAGCTGGTACCCTCATGACCGTTTCACACCGGCGGACCATCGATCTAGCTCTCTTCTAGCATTTCGCCAAAGGGCTTTACTCCTCAAGTCTCTCCTTCATGATGCCGCCGTGCGATGTATGTACCTGCCAGACAGACCCGTCTGACTTCGGTCTCCCATCCTTACAGTGTCGAACTTCGTACATCCAGAACTGGCCGATACCACCGCTCCTTTGTGGAGTGTTGTGGAACAATCTGCATCAGGACGCTTAGCCTAGCCCTACTAACCTTAGGCAGTTTAAAAATTGGATTAACAAGATGTCTTCAAGCTCCTTACAGCAGCCACGATGTCCCAGTATTTAGGCTTCTGCAAAAAAAAAATATTTTTAAGCGATTTTTAATCTAGCTTGTTAGGCCGAAATTTGCGATCTCTTGATTTTCGCAGGCTATACGAGGACTGCACTTGATGAACAGATATCAAATGAGAAAAGGTCAAGGAACAGTAATTCAGATCTTGATTTTTGTCAATTCTCTTTTAACTCTTCTTAAGTATAAAGGAAATATGTGGAGTATATGCAATGGAGCGATTTGAATGGTTACTTTAATTTTTTATATTTTCATAAATATAAGGATAACAGGTAGCTAAAAGAAGCAGCAAAACAAACATTGTTATCAAAAAGCAATATGTATTATCACTCAAAAATTAAAAAGGAATGTCAATAGGAATACATTGAAAGGAATGGAATATTTATTATTTTTTACGCTGACAATCATTGTTTTCACATTTACACAGTGAAATACAAACTAAGTTTGATTTTTTACAACTGCTGACGTTGTTTTACAATTGGATAACCATTTGCAGTATTGGACCAATGTCTCTAGTAAAAAAGGTTCAGGCTGTCATTTGCCGTGAAAGTAATGTTACATTTGCTCTTCACAAATTAATGTAAACGTAATGCGCCTGACGTACACATCACCGTCACTAAATTTAAGGCGAAACATTGCCTATATCGAAGTATATCGGTAGTAAATTTGGCCTAACAAAAAAACTTAAAAATCGCTTTAAGATAAATTAATCTCAAAATACACATCTTGTAGAGAAAGGCTTTAGCTTCAGCTTAAATACCTGGCAATCTAAGAAATAATCATTTTATAGCTCCGAAGCCACTAACTTCAGAGAAATGTTACTAAGAATCTTTCATGTTCACAATAATCCATGAAATCGCAAAAAAATTGTCGGAGTGAACAAACCTTTTCGTAATGATTTAACAGGGAAAAAAATTAAAAAAACGATTAAAATGTGGTTCGGATTATTATCCGGATTATTATTCTTTGACCTCTTCTTAGTTGATACCTGCTCAAAAAGTGCGGTCCTCACATTTCAAGCACTCTGGTCTATAAGCAAACGCTGGAAAAATTGTTTACGCCTAATGTTCTTTGCATAAATAAAAAGAGATACATAAATAAAGTCCACTTTCTATCGCCTGTGTTTCTATGGGTCACGTTTTTTTCTAATAATACCGTTAGTCCCATCATCGTTCTCGTTTTTTCGGCAGAAACGGTACAAATCCTCCCAAGTTCAAGCGCCTGATGTTGCCAATGACCGGCTTGTTTCCCCTGTTCCCCGCAGCTTTCTGTACGAAATAGGTAGAGGCTAAAACAATGCATCTTCTACTGAGTGGTCTTCAGACAGGTTTACCCTCCTACTTACTTTTTGGCAGATGGTCCTCTAAAGCCTTAAATATAAAATCACTACCTTTCAAAATGGTGGACTGGGAAGCTGTATAGTAAACGTCGAGCGCTTCTGGATATCAAGTCGCTTATAACTGAACAACTAATCTCCGAAACGTTATATTGTGTTATAGCAATCGTCCTCTATCTCAAGGTGCAATAAGGTACGAGACAGTCAGCATAAAAAGATTAGCGTCTAGTAACTTCGAAAAGGATTATATTTTGCACAACTTAGACCTTCTGAGAAAAAGCTAGCTACGGACATGTATAATAAAAAATTAAATGACCTTCCTGCTTCCCCTAAGAGCAATTGCTGAAGGCGCACATGATCGGTGCGACTACGTGCTGCGCGAATGATGATATTACCTGCACTATGCACAGTGCACACGGCCCACAGCAGTACGGAAGCGATTGCCGACTGTCACGTACGACCACCGACGACGACGCTTGTCCATCTGGAGACCACGTCGCCGGTATCGACAATCGACTGTAGGAGATATTTGGTTTCAAGAGTAAGTGTACTGAAACATCAGTGAAATCTGCCTACTATGCGCGTGGTATTACTGAGATTGGAGCCGTATAAATGCATCAATGTCAAAAAATTACTACTATATAGAGTGTATCACATTATGTCGAATACATTTTGACAAGAAGCTCCTTCAAAGGCGGAAAGGAAGTATATATTAGGGAAGATTAAGAGTAAAATATGTACCAAATATGACTGAAAGAGGTATCGAATTAATCGTGGATGGTTGACAGAAGACATTTTTCTTGAAGATTCTGAAGCAAAAATTATTGGATATAATCCTTAAATCAATTGTTTCTGTATAGCTACAATTTTCCGAGAGATATGCATGATGCAACATTATAACGCGGAATGTCTATAATTATACAGCTTAATCATATGCAAAATGAAAAGAGACATTGGGCAATGCATTGAAAAGGATCATTGACGTGACCTTCAGCAAATCGGTGTTACTGTGAAATATGTTCACCAAATCCAACGTTCTCTTGTCCATGGCACGAAATACATTTTATTTTCGGGACAATCAGAAATTCCTTCGAAATCACAATACGTTCTATTTTCTAAATAATAGGATTGCATCTGACTTGTAAAGCCTAAGCCACGTTTTTTAACTACATGCTCGGCCTACAGGGAGAAAATAAATGAAAGATAGAAGGAGTAGAAAATGTGAAAGGAAGTTCTATTATCTAGAGGTTTTTTTTTGTAAAATGTATGATAAGAGTGCGACAAGCTACTCTCTGCTCTTCTACTAGATAGATGAAATATAACCCAGGAGAAGGGGAGATCAGAGAGGCAAGAAAACACGTAAAGTAGCGAAATTGTCATTAATAAGTTACGATTTTTCAACTTGCGTGTTGAGAAATTTTTAGCGATCGCGAGTTGTAGAGTCAGCTCCCCAAACTTAGCCATAACTGAGCTCAATATAGATGACACAACTCTTTCTCAGCAGTACGAAATAATGTCAGTAGCTTTAGCAGTCACAACATCCCGGACGATACGCAAGTCAAACGCTCAAATGACCAGTTTTTAAAATTTCTCTAAGAATTTGTCTTTGTAATAGCCGTGGAATGGCTTTGCCAGTTGGTAGCCATTTTCACTTAGATTCTGGTTATTTATTTATTGGTGCTCCATGCACTTGCGTACTAACATAGCTCGAAATAAGTGGACGCAAAAGTGTACACGCCATGCCAGTAAGTTACCAAGCAATAAAAATCTTGGGAAGAACAACAATTACAAAAAAAAGAAAGTGAGATGATTATTATGTTGCTATGTATCCTACCTAAAGTAATAAAAATGAAAAAGTATAAAACAAAGCCATCCGAACAAATTACCAAATAAAAGGAAAAGTATACAGGGTGTAAACGTTTTGATAGTCATTGTTTAAATGGGTGGATCTTTCATATAACATGGGGGTCCAAACGGCATTTTGTTAGAGAAAAGCGACTTTAAAGTAAAATAAAATATGACAACGCCGCAATGCGAGACGCAAATTACGACGGAACGCAGTGTAAATAAAGATGGAGTTTGTTATTTTTGGCACTTAGATATTATTTCATTATTTGATATTGTACTCGTAATATGCAAACAATTAAAAAAAAGCGGACTTACCACTAACTGTCTCAGCGCTTCACCTGGTGTGTGAAAGTATATTGAACGTTTTAAAAAAATCCACTTAAAAATTTGGAACACAATTTTGATACATACATTGTTTTTGTTTTTAAAACCCACACTGCACTTTTTTTTGTATTTAAAGAAGGTATTCGAAATGTCCTACACTTTCCACACAAGCTTCATTACGACGAACTCAGTTTCTTCTTCCTCTAAGTCCTCGAAGTTGTCCATTTATTATTTCAGCCGCATTAAATTTTTTTCGCGAACTTGTGTTTCAGTTGTTATTGGACCGATCCAGCGATTTGGATAATGTTCATTCAAATACTAAATGACGCCTCTAAAAATGTGTGGTGGTGCCCCGTCATGAAGACACCACAAATTCTGTCTCCGTTGTAATGGCATGTTGTCTAATGTCTGTTCCAAAATTCTGGTAGGCTATTGGCTAGAAAGCTCAAGTATCCTTCTACTGACAACTTTGGGGGTAACTCGAGAGGGCCAATTACCTGATCGTCAATAATACCCGCCCAAATATTTATTTTAAAACGTTGTTGGAAATGACCTTCACGAATGGTATGAGGATTTTCTTGGGCTCACGTGTGAGTGTTATGGAAATTTAATATCCCGTCATGCGATAAAAATCTAAGCATACATCTAAAGGAGCCGAGGCTAGAAGTTTTAAGTGCTTCAGGAAGATTCATAAAAGGGTATTGCACAGTAGAACCCTTTCTAGTTCTCTATAGCTCCAATGCCTTTTTACATGGCTGTAGGCATATGCTAAGAGTAACCGCGGTTCAAGAGTGCATATGACGTTCTTGAGTGGAATTATCCATGATACGTGCTTAACAACGTATAAGTATAAAGTTTTCGTTTGTATTACCTTCCTAGGTCATTTACGCATTTTGAAAATAAAAGTGGTCCCAGCATAGAACCCTGTGGGGCGCCACATAAAACTGTCATTGTTGCTGGTTATTGCTTGCTTCTATGGGACTTGTAACGCGACAATTTTTGTAAGATGTCGTTTTTAGACTTGCTATATTGTGGATCAAACGCTGTAAACTGCCAAAGTTGTCCCAATGCAATACAGCATAAAGAAAGATAGAAATGAAACAGATCTTGTTCTTCGGAGGAAGATGGAAATGGTCACTGCATCTATGCCGTCTCCGTGGAAGCCGTACCCAACCACAATCAAAACCCGTTAAGGTGACCGCCGGTTCCACGCCAGGTCGCGCATTTCTGAAAGTCGCATCTGATCAAATTACCATGCTCGAGTACGATTTAATACTTGGTCGATTCACAAGCAAAAGTAGTCCATGAAGCGGAACGCCGTTCTAGTTCCTCGTCTTTTATTAAACACATGTTTTTCGAATGAGTACTGCCTGTTTACAATCCTCTCCTCCCCTGGCTAGTAGTACTGATGGTGGAAGATGAGATACACTTGTGCAGCATGGTGCATCGTTAGTTTGTTTGTGCTTTTGTTACTAGGTGAGTCGTGATACCGAACTGTTTAGATAATTAGTGCTGCTGGAATTACGAGATTGTAGCAATCAGGTACTATTTAACATACACTTGTACTAGTTTCATTTGAGAAAGTGTTTCCGGTTTAAGAACGGTTTTGATCCTTTTGTTTTCGAGCTTCGGGGACTTTAAGCTAACCTGGTACTACCTGATCATTTCACGTTTCCCTTGATATTACTGGTACTTGAAGATGACATGCTAGGAGCTACCTGCATATACCAACAGCTTTCCGAATTTATTTGGGTACTACCTGTATGATCTACAAGTAGTTCTACAGTGGGTACTTTAATGTATTTCTTGATAAGTTACTGACATGAGATGATAGATGCTAGTGTTTAAACAAACGCATATTTTCCGAGTGAGAACTACCTGGTTACATTTCTTTCCTCCCCTGACTAGTAGTACTGATGCTAGAAGATGAGATATACTGTACTATCAGGTACTACTCAAGATGGATTTATAGCTTAGGAAAGTGGATCTCGGTTAACGATGTTCTTGATCTCACCCTTTTTCCAAGTTTTCTCTGTAGTACTGATACAGGAAGAGGGATGTATCGAGAATTCCTAGTTTTCAAAATTTAGGTTGATGTGAATTAACAACAATGCTTTATCAGAATTTACATCGCTGTTCCCGTGGAAATGATCGTGGAGAATTATTCACATGTTTACCGACTCTTTGATCAAAAATAGTTTACACAACGCACGCCCTATAGTATTTTGAATTTGCCCAGGTACTATAACTGATCATTAATGAGTAGTTATCCCATCGGAAGAAGGAACAAATGCACTTGTCACGTAATGAGTGCCTCTACTGGTACTACCTGGTAGAATCCTTTCGATAGGATGAAAGGTGATAGATGTTTGTCAGAACGTTGCTTAAAAAAAACGTATCAATGTGGCACATGGAACACGTTATTTTCAAAAGCTACTGCACTTGATTCAAAATGTGTTAAGCTGATTACATGTTTGTTAAACGCGGCATTCTCTTTAGGCGCTTATTTGAATTGCAATATTGTTATCGTGATTGTAGCAATCTAGTATTATTTAATAAGCACTATTTGTGTTAGTTGAGCTTGAAAAAATGAGGCTAGACTTGTTACACATTGAAAAGTATTAATTCGGTTATCTCTAAATAATAATATTTCATAGGTGTTACTACACAAACTAATGTGCTTACGCACGTCAAAGGATTACATGTTGAAAATACATGTCTGCCTTAAGGGCATTTAGAAAACAATCAAAATTCAAAAGCGAAACAAAGTAAAATAAATAAGGATATTGACACAGCCGCAAATATGGGATAGTATAATAATTATAAACACACAAGCGCAAAAATGAGACAGAGTAAAACAAATATGAACACATACGTAAACGCGGGACCGACTAAAATAAAAAATAATACGAACATTTACAAAAGCATATCACTAAAGTTATTTGTCAAATACTCACCAATACAGAAGAATGCTTTTTCTGTTAGACAGTCTTTGAGTTTCTTGTGGAAAGCATCAACACTAAGCGATTTGACAGGTATTGGCAACACATTAAAAAATTAATACCATACCCCGTTTCTGGTTTTGTCAAGGTCATGGCTATTAGGCCAAATATTATCTCTATTGTGGTTTCATAACAGTCACTGTGAGTGGAGAAGAGACTTCAATTTCCACTTACTCAAAATGTAAGTGTAGAGTCAGTATCCCCCATTTGTCGAATTGTAACATGTAACGGATACATCGCCTTTGCATGCCAAAAACTTTTTGGATGTGTGGAGAGTGTGCCCACATCAAAATTGCATAGGTCAGTTTGCAGTGGAAATATGCAGGATAACTGATCAATAAGATCTGAGATCTTAATAAATAGTATGAATGTGGTAAAATGTTTTTTTTTCAATAAAATAGTACGCTGAACACAGTCGAAAGCCTGTGAATGGTTTTCCAAGCCTTCAAACGAAATCTCTAAAGTCATTATTGCTGAAGTAGTTCATCTGTTGCGTCTGAATCCAAGTTGCCTGTTGTTCAAAAGGTGGTTCGACTCAAGGTGGTAGGTAAGCTAATCCTTCAGCAGTATTTCAAAAATATTTGCAAAATACGAGATAAAAGAAATTGGCCGATGGTTTGGAGTTCATAAACCGATCCAGTTTTAAATATTGGAATGACTTTAGAGATTTTTGAATGCGAAAGTGTATTTTTCTTTATTGTCGCTTCGTTAGTTTTAATGGTCTACCTTCAATTGATGAATTTGCGTAACAAAATTTACGCGATTGGATTAATATTCTGCTATCTAAAGTTTTGTGGTTATTACAATTCCTAACATTACGTCCGAATCATGTCAAAAGCTTAAGTGCTTGTAATGTGCCATGAAAATCTGTCTGGGTTGTGGTCATTTTCAGGGCGCCACATTATGTCTGAAGTATATGATCTCTTTAACCAATATTACGAACCACTGGATAGTAGGGTCGAGGTCAATCATTGTTTGTAAATTCCTGAATGCAAATTGTTTCACTTTTTCGCAGCCCTATTCCGCTTTGAATCTGGGCGACCAAATAGCGGTTTTTTGGTACTTGTCACTCGCTGTGGATTCTGTAGCCTCAGAGCTCCCCTGGAAATATTGTTTGTTACCTTGTATGATTTCTATGATTTCAGAAGTCACCCATTGTCTACTGTGGAATGCCGTCGACCTAAGGTACTGGCGATGCAACCTCAAGAAAGTATATGAATGTCCAGATAATGATATAAGGTTTTACTTATACACGAAGTAAGTATCTTTTTTAGAATATGTCCTTCGGTAGATGAAGGTACAATTGTACATGCAACCCATTGTTTTTCCACCGGTAATAGCCATAGTCTTACATGCTCACTTTGAAGCAGGAGAGGGGTAATCCATGAAGTATCTTTGCATCTGTTCTGGGATATATTCGGATGCTCCTTACTCCTTACTCAAAAATGACCCCTTTGTTTGCATATTACCCGGTCCAAATTTGCATCAAAAATTGTTTAAACAAGAACAAAAGCGGCCGATTGCCTAGCACTTAAAAAGCCAAAGTTTACAGTAACAAGACCCCCTAAGATACTTTGAGATTTTGTTAATGGATGTCTAAAGAATGTTTAGGGACTTGGGCGACAATTTAATATTTTTTGTTTGATGTTTCTCGGGTCAGCGTTATAAGAATATTTTTTTATCGAATGAAAAATGTAACAACAAATCGTCCAGAGCAAGTTCACTCAGTTGCATAGAACAGATAGAAAAAGATAATTATCACAATGTCTATTTAATGTATCAAGTTCAGTGCAACAGGTAAAAAGAGACTTAGGATAGACGTAAGGAACCACTATGCGCTGCAATATGCTGGATATGAACCCGAAAAGAAGAACGTCATCATCATCCATGGTTTCAACGGGACCGAAGCTAGGACACCTATCACGCTTCTCAGAAACAGTAGGTACCAATGGTGATTTGATTGAAGATTGATTGACGATTTCTTAGACTTGTGACTACTAGATTAGAAAAGGGAGCTTACAAGCGTAAACGCAATCGCGACTCATATGGACCTCTTGTTCCTCCCCCAGTCACACTGTATAAAGCATTGTATTTAGCCTTGATACTTCAGAACTCATAGTCTTGGAATTTGTGATTCCTAATTCTGAAACGAAAGCCTTCTTAGACTTGTCACTACTAGATTAGAAAAGGGATTAGCTTACAAGCGTAAACGCAATCACGATCCATATGGACCTCTTGTTCCTCCCCCATGCCCACTGTCTAAAGCCGTGTGTTTAGCCTTGATACTTCAGAGTTCACAGCCTTGGAATTTGTGATTCCTAATTCTGAAACGAAAGCCTTCTTAGACTTGTGACTACTAGATTAGAAAAGTGGTTAGCTTACAAGCGTAAACGCAATCACGACCCATATGGACCTCTTGTTTCTCCCCAATGCAAACTGTCTAAAGCCATGTGTTTAGCCTTGATACTTCAGAATTTATAGCCTTGGAATTTGTGATTCCGAATTCTGAAACGAAAGCCTTCTTAGACTTGTGACTACTAGATTAGAAAGGGGGTTAGCTTACAAGTGTAAACGCAATCACGACTCATATGGACCTCTTGTTCCTCCCCAATGCAAACTGTCTAAAGCCATGTGTTTAGCCTTGATACTTCAGAATTTATAGCCTTGGAATTTGTGATTCCTAATTCTGAAACGAAAGCCTTCTTAGACTTGTGACTACTAGATTAGAAAGGGGGTTAGCTTACAAGTGTAAACGCAATCACGACTCATATGGACCTCTTGTTCCTCCCCAATGCACACTGTCTAAAGCCGTGTGTTTAGCCTTGATACTTCAGAATTCATAGCCTTGGAATTTGTGATTCCTGATTCTGAAACGAAAGCCTTCTTAGACTTGTGACTACTAGATTAGAAAAGGGGTTAGCTTACAAGTGTAAACGCAATCACGACTCATATGGACCTCTTGTTCCTCCCCCATGCACAGTGTCTAAAGCCGTGTATTCAGCCTTGATACTTCAGACTTCATAGCCTCGGAATTTGTGATTCCTAATTCTGAAACGAAAGTCTTCTTAGACTTGTGACTACTAGATTAGAAAAGGATTAGCTTTCAAGCGTAAACACAATCACGACACATATGGACCTCTTGTTTCTCCCCCATGCCCACTGTCTAAAGCCGTGTGTTTAGCCTTGATACTTGAGAATTCATAGCCTTGGAACTTGTGATTCCTAATTCTGAAACGAAAGTCTTCTTAGACTTGTGACGACTAGATTAGAAAAGGGGTTAGCTTTCAAGCGTAAACGCAATCACGTCCAATATGGACCTCTTGTTCCTCCCCAATGCACACTGTCTAAAGCATTGTTTTTAGCCTTGATACTTCAGACTTCATAGCCTCGGAATTTGTGATTCCTAATTGTGAAACGAAAGCCTTCGCGGTGATAGAGAGGACGCTCTGGGGTTTCTACTTGCTCTCGGCAGAGTCGGCATGTGGCCTCCTCTACTAGATCTATGAGCCTCATATGTTGATCTAGATGATAGTGTAATCAGGATGGCCTTTGACCTCCTACAAAATCCAAGCAGGGTCTCAATCGTATCCCGTCTCGTTTTTAAACGGGCTTCACCTATTAGTGAACTGATTTCCAAATTTCTATAGCCACCATTCTTTTTGTTGAAATTCACACAGTAAATCCTCTCTGGAGGTCTCATACTAGCAATACCAACATTTTCAGCTTATCTCGAGAGGGGAGACTACAACATATTCACTGTAGATTGGGAACGGCTAACGAGATTTCCATGTTATCTGTCAGCCCTTTCAAACACCAGACTTGTAGGTAGGTGAACCATATCTATTAGAGTTTGTCCACTTTGATTTACACAAATACAATGTATACACAGTCAGCTGTTAATTGATAGGAATTTGAAGTGTTGTGTCATTACTTTCTATAACTGTTGCTGTGTTCTATCAATTAAAAAATGCGTCGATGAAATTAAAGAATAGTGTTCTGAGGATAAACCGTCCATGAAGGATGATATTTAAATTTCAAGCTTATTTAATTTAGAAAACGATCCATGTTCACGTCTGCCACACTTGTGTGAATGTGCGGGAGAAAAGATAGTAAAAGATAGACAAACCATATTATATAGACAGTAAGCAGGAAACCTCAATATCTCGATAGTAAGTACTGAGAGAATTATATACTACTACTACACTAATTTGGTGTAAAAAATGCTGAACAAGCCTGAGTCTGGAGAGAAACATACGTTAGGTGTCATGCCAGTTTGTAACATGTTGAGTAACACGCGAACATAGCTCGAGGTTGATATACATAAATGCTCCCTGGGGCAAAGTACATTTTGGCTTTTAAATAAAACAAGATGTCACAACGTAGTAATCTGTTGCTTATTATGCCGTTTAGGAATGTGTACTGCCCACTTATATGCTTACATCATGAACCACGGCGGAGACGCAGAATTAACAACGTGTGTGGGGCATTCCCTAGGGGCACATATCTGCGGTATGGCAAGCAAGCATCTGAGCATCAAGCAGCACAGGATAATAGGTGAGTGGAATAATATGTCACGGGGTTGAATGAAGGCGTCAACGATGCATGTACCACCTAGTGGTCGTGATGGGCCTATATCTTGGCCTCCTAGATCACCAGATATGACACCGATGGACTTCTTTCTATGGGCCTACGTTAAGCAAGAGGAGAGGATCCACCATCTACCCCGGAAAATAAGAAGGAAACATAAGGGAACACATGCTGAAGGATATGCAACGGTCATTTATCCAAAGACTACGGCTGTGTATTCAACATGGTGGAGATATATTCGAGCAGTTTTTTAGATTAGGTCTTGAGTAGTGATAGTTGTTTGTTTATGTTGTTAGAGTTGCTTTTCTCGATTACGCTTGAAGCTGATTTATACTGTTCTGATTGTTATTAGTTTTCAGGTAAGATCTGTACTCTTAGTGGCAATATGGAACTAGCCCACTGTTTGTCTTTTGTTTCCATGAATGATGTGACCTTTTTCCTTAATTTTGGTGTGTCGTTCTATTAAAAGGTTAATAACTCAAAATCTAGTGATTTTATCTGAATCAAACCTCATACCAAAATAAAGCTTATAAAAGATTAAATCCAAACATGCACAAATATACAGGGTGATGCATTTGAAATTTTTAGAAAAAGTGCAATTCGCGTTTTCTACCACCCTGTATGAGCAAAAATGAAAATTCGAAAAAATAACAAATAAGATAAGAACTGAGCTGTGCAAGTTTTTTTTTATACAAAATTCAGCACTCCAAATTTCAAAATGGCTGACTGAGGGGTTGCCCAATTGGTGGGTTTTTATAGACAAAACACCTTATATCTCAGTAGCTAATTACCAACCAATTACCCCATAGTATGTTATATCAATCTTCTTCTTTCGAATTGATTTATCCAAATAGGCATTAAAATTTGAGGCATTCCATTTAAAAAATCGCAACTTTGATATGTAGGTTAATGGATGGGCCACTCTGTATATATACAGGGTCCATGATCACAATAGTAACGATTTTTCTCAGTTACAATATTTACTTTTCATGTCAAACCTGCTCCAGCAAGTGAAAAATTAAATTCGGAGGTTAACAAGTTGTGATACGCTCTGTTCCAGCATCCTGGAATTTTACAAGTCTATCTTTTCTTTTACTTGCGCCTTTAAATTTACATATTTAGCATGATTCTGTGTGCAATTTTGGGGGTTTTCATGAGTTCCTCTCAGGGGAGGAAGATCATTTAATTTTTTGTTATACTATACATGTTGGTAGTTAACTTTTTTCCTTTACGATCTAATGACAGAGTCAACTTACTTAACGCCTTTTCTTAAATAGCTTTTTACTAATTTTGAAGGATTGGATCCAGCCAGGCCATTGATAGACCGCTTCGCGCACAAAGAGTTCAGGCTGGATAAACAAGATGCTCACCAAGTTGAGGTCATCCATACGAATGCAGGATTTTTGGGCGAAAGGAATCAAATTGGCACAGTGGACTTCTGCGTGAACGGAGGAAGTATACAACCCAGCTGTTATGGAACTAGACTACGTAAGTAAATATAAAAAAATTCATCGATTAAAATTCTACTGCGAATCTACAAGAGTGTGCGTTTTCGCGTCCGATGACGGCGCTTATGTGGTTGGGGATCAAAGTAGTTAGGAAAAAGACAGATGTGGTAGAAAGCTAACCTATTTTCCATATTTTGACGTTTATTGACGTCGAACCTTCACTATTACGAAAATTGACATTATGCCGATTTTTTTTACATTGTGCAGTTTTTTTTTTGATATTAGGTAGGTTTTTTTCTGCTGAGAGATGGCATTACTGGAGGTCTAAGCTGTAAGTTGTATGTGTTGATGATAATTCCATTGGATTCTTGTCTCAAATACACTTAATCGAGATTCAAAGCTAAAAATTAATTGCACACTCTAGAAATTACATATACAAATTTGTTGAATTTAAAAAATGAGAGAGATCAGTAATAATCATATTCACTGTACACTGTCGAAGTACAAGCCATATACATGCTAACAGTAGTTACACAGAACGCGAGTGCGGTGATGATTTCAAATGCGATCTTGCTATTCAACCAACTTTCTTCTCAGAGATAAAAACTACAGACACGGATCACTAAGCCACACAAAACTATGCAACCAATAATGCGTGTAGTTTAGTTGAGTGATTACTTCATAGATGGACGTTCACAACGATCCTAGAGAGCAAACCTGGAATGACTGTTTGCGCCCTAAAAACTACCTAGTCTGCAAGTTGACATCTTATAGGTTTTTTTTGACGTCTTGTAGGCTTTTTACATGATACCCGTGCCGAAGCCTAACTAGAGCAATATTCCCTAAAATCAAGGTGGTTGAATAAAGCAGAAAGGACTGAAGTCTTTTATACGGATTTCACTTTTAGTAGTCAAACCATTTTTTTTCCGGAATGAATGGTCTAATAAGAAAAAAAAGCCAGTGGGTTAGGAAAACGTTCGCTATCTTCTTCACAGGGGGGTCAACATTTCCAAATTTCTACGCCACTTATGTAGCCCTAGTTATGGAAATTGTTGTTATGTATTTAATGTTACCTACTAGATATTGGTACAATTATGAACTTTCAAATATACTGAGTGGATAATACGTCTTTCTTCCAGAGCAAGTTCGATGTAGTCATTTCCAAAGTGCTTGTTACTTTGCCAGGACCCTGATGCTTAACAATAAGCCTATTATCGGCAGGCCATGCTCATCCGAATGTCCAAAAAGAAGCACTTCAAAATGGGGAGTCGTTCCAGGAAAAAGCATACCCATGGGCGAAAATACTCCTTTCAAGTAAGAAAAATATACCTTTTTTACGAGCTGTTATTCAACTTGATTGTTTGTATCTTAGTTAGTATGTTAGAATGTGTGGGACAAATCTTGGAACTGAAGTAGTTAACCTTAACCAATTAAGCAGAGGTTTTTACACACGTCTTCTCCCCTAGACACTGCTGCCACTTTGAATCCAAGCATAGTGACGTCATTTTAGGCCCAATATGGCGACTGCCGAAAATGGCGTATAGCATCCATATGCTATGGATATCAAATGAAAGGACTTAATGAGACAGACGCATTTTAAATCCAATATGATGGGCGTCCTAAGATCGCGTTTATAATTGCCATAGTCACCACTATGAGATAGAGGAGTATATGTAATAATAATATACAGTGGACATAGTTAATTGCCAATTAACTCATTAGGAGAAAGTATCCTTAATATTTCTTTGGGAAGACGGAACATTTTTTACAAAGTACGCTCTGTTAACTTAGAACTCAATCTTTTGATGGTCTATGCCATCATCTTCAGGAGCTACCCCGATTGCATTAAATATTAATTAAATATTTTCAAAAATGTTTGTTAAATATTTGTAGCGACAGATTTTTTAATATATAATAAATCCGTGTCCGAGTGCTCCTTTGATAACGAAATCGGTGAAGAAGTTCGAAGAGACGGATCTACACTTAATGTGAAGCAAACCGGCGGCCCACGGACTGCTCGGAGCAAGTTTCCACTTCGGCTGAATTAGGATTATCCCGCACATCATTACGCCGTATTTTGAGATTAGATGTGAAATTACATCCATATAAGATCCAGATAGTGCAGGAACGAAAACCAAATGATTTAAATTTGTGCAAGTCGTATGCCGAAACGATGTTAGCTCGATTCAGTAATTTTGACAATCTCTTATTTTCTGACGAAGCCCATTTGCACCTCAACGGATATGTGAATAAACAGAACTGCAGGAACTGAAGCAACAAAAATCCCAAAGCTACGAGAAGCCACTTTACTCTCCTAAAGTAACTGTATGGGCTGCAATTTCAGCAAAAGGAATCATTGGCCCCTACTTCTTTGAAGATTCTCGCGGCCATTCAGTTACTGTTAATTCTGCTGAGTATGTGAAAATATTACACACACATCCAACGAGTCCCTGCCGGTGGTCACAGAAATGTATCCGGAAAAGCTCATTTCCAGACGTGGTGACATCCCATGGCCACCCAGAAGACCAGATCTATCCCCACCAGACTTTTTTATGGGGTTATTTAAAAAGTCCTGTCTACATCGTTAAGCCCATCAACTGAAAGAAAACATTAACGAAGAGTCTTTATGCTGACGAGTATTCGAAAACCACGGTACACGTTTAGAAGGGTGCAAAAATCGTCACGGTGGTAATTTAGATGATATAATTTTCAAGAAATGAATTCCAACTAATTGGCTTTCTTGTGAATAAATAATTTTTAAAATATATCAAATGTTTTTTTTTTCATACGATTTTTTCAAATGTTAACTAATTCATGGCCCACCCTGTACTAAGATAAAGTGATGGCGATTTCAGTTTGACGTAAAGTAGTGAGAGGGTTACAAACACGCAAAAACACTTTATAACGAATGAAGATAACGACATGCGCTTTTCAACAGTTCGTAGGAATATTCATGAACTTCATAAATAATGAAACATGATAATACCAATGCATTTGGGATTTCCGAGAAACGGTATTTCTAATTATAAGTTAATAGTGACACCTCCTAGACGCTGTTTTAGGGGGCAGCAATTTTTTTAACCAATAGCATATAGACTTTATTTTTCTTTCTGTGACCTAATCTTCAAAACCCAATAGGTCCCTACGACGCTAGAGCAGCATTTAGCCTCTTATTTTCCTCTACTAACATCATCCTGCTCGAAAATGTTTCTTGGTTACTGAAGTAAGTTATTTCTTTCAGTGCTCGTGGAACCTACTGTGTGGAGACAGACACAAAGAAAGACTGTCCATATTTCCAGTGAGCCTTATTGATTTTGTTAACAGATTGATATTTTTTGTACAAACTGTAAATTATTGGATAATATAGTTATTTTATTTTATTGGTCTATTCCTTCAACAGACACACATTGAAATTCGAAGCGGACCACACCAGCTGCAGTACCATCAGAAACAGTATTCAATAGCTAAGTGTCAATAGTGCTTGTTTTCTTTGATCAGAAAAATGTACGGAAAGCTTTTATTTGTTATGCTTTTAAAAAAATTACTTTTAAATTAATCACCAGTTTATACGATTTGTTGTTCTACAGGGTTAATTAGTTAGATCAAGAGACATGGCACTTTAAATCCGCTAGTTTGCTTGATTGACCTGCTTTACTGCTTTACATCAAAAACATGGGCAAACCAAGAGCTCATAGATAGCTTGGCATCTGCCAAGAAACCGCTTTTGGCTTAGCGATTCGCACATAGATGGCACGGCATCTACCATCGAAGCAGGCGTGCAGTGTTTCCAAACTAACAAAAAATATTTAGAGGCTGCTACTCATATTGACCTAAATAAGTTCTTTTCACTGTGCTTGGCGCACAATGTCATACGAAAATATCGTCTGATCTGTACACTACTTGCGCTAAAACTTTCCCATAGAAATTGTACAATGCAGAAGCCGCCTCAACGCGGCTGCTACTCTCTCTTGCATACGCTCCACAAATTGGGTGTGACAGACGACGTTTTCGTTTCCATTCACTGTTTGATAATAAAAAAAGTAGTAATTAGAAGAGGCTTTTGCCATTCCTTGATCTTCAGACATTGCTGGTTTATATCTTCTCAGATAGTCAGTGACAGGCATAAATGTAGAAGATTTATGCTTTGATGAGAAAATCTTTAAGGTGCTATGAGGCATAATCAAACACCGTGAAGAAGATTTAGAGTGTCAAGTATCTTTGCAGTTGCTTGATGTGGATGCACCTAAATAAATGATGTACACATTGATTGAAAAATATCTTTGGTTAACTACAAATCAGCGATAAATATCCCTACCGTGAATAAGTTTCCAAACATGTGCTGGACAATGTATTCACCAAAACAAGGAATTCATCTGGCAACACCGCATGCATCTCTTGGCAAATAAAAACAACTGGTAGTTAGACACCAGTCCACATTTTTCTAAGGTATACACCTTGCCTAACTGCCTTCTTTTGGTAAAATTACCCTTCGGTTAAAGTCAGAAGATCACTTCAATCTAAAAGAGTTTCTGCAACAAAGTGGAACGCGTTACAAAAGTCGTCTTTCAAATTTTACTGTTAACTTCAATACTGTAATAAAATTATGAGGTATGTAGTTACAGAGTTGAAAATCATCAACAGCATAGAATTATCTATAGTAAACATGATAGTGGAAAAGCAGACACTTTTTTCGTTGGTACGTTCAGCTAGAAGCATTATCTGTTCTTTCATAGCTTTCTCTTGATGACTTTGAGGGCGGCTGGGAAGCCTCATGTGGATGTTGTGACTGATCTGGGAGAGCTTCCTTGCTTCTGCTGTTGTTCTGATGGAGTATCTCGCCAGCTGCCATGCGAAGACCTGAAATAGGTCGCTTTGAGATTTTTGGTCCTATTGTATCGAGCAAACAATTTATATTCTACAATTTTGGCCAAGGCCGGCTACAAAAATGCATACTCCCGCAACTGTTCAAACCTCATTTACTCCGCGTTGAAGCTAACATCAGCACTCAACTTTCGCTTCTTTTTGCTTGTCGCTACCTGCCCAGGCATTTATGGCATGCTGGCCAGCAGCTTCGAAATGGCTGACAAATTTGATATTTTACCGCTTTACGTTGACCGATTACTATGGCTTTGGAAGTCATAACATGACGTTGAATTAAGATTTTGATCTTTACCACAAAGTCATAGCTGTTCACTAGGTTGTCCCAAAAAAATTAAAGTACTTTTTTTAAAAAGTGTAACCTCTAATTTTAAACAATGTCAAAATAATTGTAAATAAAGCTTTATGTACCTCGAACCAGGGCAAGCCGTGCCGAGTTCCATTAGAACATATGTATATGTTTTGACGTCAAATGGAAAAAAATTGAGGATATGCATATAATTTGTCTGTCCTCATAGGCTGGGACACCTTCAAGGTCATGCTACTTAATGTAAAACCGAATCAGCTAGAATTTCAGTCTTATCACAGATAATTGAGTATTCTTAAAGACGGTCAAACGATCACTACTTACTAGAAAGCTCAAGGAATACCCAACGGCGGCCAGTGTAATCTTAATAAGTGCAGACCCGTGTAGTGCCTGGAGATACAATTTTAACGGCAGGTATGCTACTCGAATCAGTGCACACTCAACCAGCATGATAAAGAAAAAGATCTGCACTCCAAAACAAATATTGACCAGCTTCACCGTATCACAAATTCTTTCGTGGTGGCGCTTGAAGTATTTGAAATCCTTGCCGGATATGGATCTCTGGTATAGATGACATGACATCCAACTCTTCCAAATATCACCATTGAACTTCTTGAAGGCGTAATAGAGAGCTTCGATATATGAGATAGACTGGAGTATGTTGATCGTGCTCATAAAACTGTTGAGGTACCAGAACATCCAATGTCTCCATATGTGTATTGGTACCGCTATTGCTAATGCGTCAAATATTAAAATTGATATAAAAAGCGCTACTGGTAGCAAAGTCGACTTGACATTGCTATTTTTGTACATGTAGCACTTCTGCAGATATTCAACCTCTTGCTTTAACTTGTACAGATGTTTTCTTTTGACAATCAACGACTGCATCACTGATGCGATATTTGCTGAGGTCGACAATGTTACAGTCAAGAAGTCTAGAAGGTTAAGGATTGTCTGACTTTGAAAGTCCGCCTTGCTGACAGTGAACTGGTAAGCAAACACTATACCGGTCACTTGAAGAAAACATATCAAAATACCGGCAAATAATTGGACATGTTTTGCTTTCGCGATTGTTGTTGGTGAAAAACACAACAAACTGCAAACTGTTTCTAGTATTTTGAGAGTATCTATTGTACAGCGACACCGATGTTTTTTCTCTGCCAACGTCATTGTTGTGAGTGGTTTATTTCGTAAACGAATAGCAAATAAAATGTTCCAAGTGATTGACCATACAATATTTGAAGTATTGCTTTTTGTTTGAGTAAGTAGCAAAAAAGCGAGTGATTGACGATAATAAGGAGCGTCTGACATATTGATAGCCATCGTTTGATATCTATTATTTTTTATTTATTAGTGTTGGTTAATCATTACATAGAATGATCCATTTGAGGGAAATAGGTGCTATGTCACGATGCTTGTATGAATGTAAATAACATTTTTTCGCACATAAACAATCTCTGTATACAGGGTGTTTCAGTTTATTGTTGCATAACTTTTAGATTCGAGAGAACTTTTAAAATTAATGCATAAAGTTTATATAAACATGGGTCGAAAAATGCGTGGCTTCCGAAATACAGGGTGTTTAAATTTACTTTCAAAAATATTTTTTTTAAAATATTTCGAACAATATTTGATGTATAACAGTGAAAATTGGTATACAAGGGTTTTTTGGTACGACAAAACGAACCATAGTTTTACTGTAGCCGCTCTCTACTGTACCTGTATTCAAATGACCAAAAATTTTTTCTTGGTGCAATTTTTTGCTTTTTGAACGTAAAAAATGATTCTTCGCCCTTTTCAACATAAAAAAGCTCTCTTGTGAATTTTCGCTATAGTTAGCCGTTTTTGAGATATTTCTATTTTTAGGGTTCGATGCATTTTTTATTATTTATGATAAAATAACGTTAAAAAGTCAGTATCTCGATAATTTTTAGAAGTAGGCTGTGCCTGCAAATATTTTTGAAATTGAAAGCAGAATAAGGTTAAACGTCAATTAGTTGACAGTTAGTTTTGTTGTCTGTTGAAACCTGAAACGTTTTTTGCAATTGTGAATGCACGAATTTTAGTTTCTTTTACCTGTTTTTTTTTTGCAAGTTTTATAAAAATGCCATTTTTATTCTTCAATCAAGAGTTAGCGGATATTCATTTTGTGTATGGCTTTCTAAATGGAAACGCAGCAGAAGCCCCCAGAGAATACGCACGAAGATTTCCAAACAGACGACATCCAACTCGCTCAGTATTTGTAAGAGTGCATCGCCAAATAATTGAAAATGGTTTTGGAAATCTCCAAAGGGATCAAAAAATGAATGTTCGTCAGCGCAGATTTACCCGTATGATTCCGCGTGAGTTTGATAGAGATCCAATCACAAGTGTTAGGAGAGTTTCTGGTGCCTTGGGAATTTCAGTATGCCATGTTCACGGTGTTCTTAGAAATGACCATAGACGTCCTTACCATTTGCAACCTGTGCAAGGACTACAGCCAGGGGACGGAGAACGAAGAATCACATTTTGTCAGTGGATTCTTGATAGAACTGATAATAATAGGGAGTTTTTAAGTAACATTTTATGGACCGATGAGTCATGCTTCACTAGACGTGGACTGGTAAATTTTCATAATCAACATATTTGGTCGCATGAAAATTCGGATGCAGTTCGGGAAAGAAATTTTCAGCATGAATTTAGTGTAATCGACTATTTGGACCCTACCTTTTGCCTGCAAGGTTAAATGCTGCGACCTTTTTAAAGGCTGAATATGCAAATATGTGGGATGATGTTATGTTAGATTTAAGAAGATTGGCCTGGTTCCAGATTGATGGTTGTCCAGCTCATTATTCGAGAATAGTTAGAAACTGGCTGGACGAAAATTATCCAGAAAGATGGATCGGCCGTGGAGGACCAGTCGCCTGGCCTCCACGATCCCCTGACCTGAATCCATTAGATTTCTTTGTGTGGGGATTTCTAAAAGAAAAAGTGTACCACAAGAGATGTGCTAATAGAGAGAATCAGGAATGCATGTGATGAAATAAGGCCTTATTTGAATAATGCTATACCACGTTCGACCATTCGTAGATGTGAATTGTGTATTGAACAATTGGGTTTACGTTTCGAGCAACTACTTTAGATTTTGTATGTTTGTCCTAACCATCCAATAGCATTTTAGTTGTAAATAATTAATTTAATTTGTTAAAAATAATATTGGAAAATTAAACAAATTAATATTCTGTTTTTTTGTGTTTATTTGCAGTTAGGAATTATTGCTGTGTTTAAAAACAAAATCTAAACGATCATCTTAATTACTTGTAATGCCCAAATCGAAAATGTAAAAAAATATTATTTTTCCAATAATAATTAAAAATGCATCGAACCTTAAAAATCGAAATATCTCAAAAACGGCTAACTATAACGAAAACTCACAGGAGAGCTTTTTTATGTTGAAAAGTGCGAAGAATCAGTTTTTTTATTCAAAAAGCAAAAAATTGCTCTAAGAAAAAATTTTCGGTCATTTTAATACACTACAGGTAAAAATGAAGTCGAACATATGCCTCGAGTCGTAGGACCTTTGCTGTAAATTAAAAGATTTTTTGATCTTATTGTCTGCTTAAGCAGAAACTCAATAAGAATGCGAGGTACTGTATCTGGGAATCTAAAACGGCCAAGAAAAAAAATATAAAAATTCCGCTATTATATAAAAATAAAAAAATACATGATCTTTAAATTCCCGAATCATCAATCTGAGCCTTTTCAAAAAGAGCACCCTGTATCCTCGAAACGGCTGAGCCGATTTTAACAAACTTGGTCTGGTTGAAAAGAGCTATTTTTGGTCTACATATTTTATAATATTCGAAGTTGTGTTAGTTTTGACAAGTGGCCGGTAGAGAGCTTTTTTCGACATTCCTACAGAGATGATTAATTTTCTCAAAAAAACTAAATGCACGGGTATGATTTTTTTAACTAGCAAAACGATGTCTAAACAAGCCCGCGAACACTGCATCTCGATGTCTTGTTCCTAAGGCCAAAGAAAACTTATACGGGAATCCTTTAATTTTTTATTTTTTAAACTATTTTTTATTATTAAGTTTTGGCCCTAAAAATGGTGAAGTGTAATGGCCTTGTCAACGCTCGAAATGCTGACCATCACGCTACGAGATATGCATTCCTGAAGCCTCTCTTGTTAGACAAAACTGCAGCTTCAATTTCGGTCAAAAACTCTGCTAAAAGATTGTTTATTACAGTTGGTGTTCCAGTTTTGCATCCGTCACTGCTTGTTCCTTAAGAACTGAGTATTCAGCAGACGAATCAATATCATTCATAATATGGTTAGAATATTTGCTATGTGATGATGCAGGTAAAATACTTTGTCTGCCAGAACGGTCCATTGATATTGGCTTTGAGTTAAAAACCTTTTTAGACTGGTTAGCCAACTGAGTAAAATACAATATACAAATATTTTACTCACCAGGAAACTCATACAGTAGCCTATGAAGCCTGGTGTTACCCTTAGAAGATTAGTTCCATGTATGCCATGTAGATACAGCTTCAGTGGAATATACATCACGCGAATCAACAAACCTTGAATTGTAATGATAAAGAGTAAGCTCCGTACTCCAAAGCAGTCATTTACTAGCTTCACCACATTGCAAACCCTTTCATGACCACTCTTGTACTGTTCGAAATCTTGGTATGGCAGTGGTCTATTTTGGTTTTGACATAACTTCCATTTCTTCCAAAAACGATCATTGCATTTCTTGAATGGATAGTAAAGGGCTTCGACGTATGATGTGATCAGGAGGACGTTGTAAGAAGTCATGATGCAGCTCAAATGCCATGGCAACCATATATACCAAGTAGCCAAAGTCACTCGGAACATTACCGCATCATACACCAAAGTCGCTATTAGTAGAGCTTCGGATAGTAAGATTGATATTACATTGGGAGTAGAGTAACCATAAAGCTTCTGCAGGTAGTCGATCTCATATTTCAACTTGAGTGCCTCTTTTCTCTTAAAGACCATTGCTTGAGCTATGGAGACTATATTGGTGAATGCAGCTATAGCGACGGCCAAAAAATCCAAGAGTATGGCGATAGATCGTACCTGGAAGCCGTCTTCCGTTACAGAGGCTCGATATGATACCATAACACACATTGCTTGAGAAGCATATATCAAAATGGAGACCAGTAGTTGAGCGTATTGTAATTTTGAGTTTTTAGTCGGAGAAAAACACCAGAGCGTACAGAGAAGATCGACTAGTCTTAGAGTAGCCATCATCCAATAGCACCAAAATTTCTCCACAACTTATTGCTCTGAGGCTTCTAAGTGAACGAACGACATTGTTCCAATAATCAACATAAATGTGTGATGAGCACTTGTTTTGGGTAATTATGTAGAAAAGAGTTTTCGTAAATAAGAAAACCATTAGTCATCAGGGAAAGCAAATTAACTATCGAGGTTTTGTACGCCATTAATTTTTTACCTGTTTTGTTAGTAATATTAGACTTCTGATTACAAGGTGTATTTTGATATATAATCTCGAGTAGTCAACGAACGCCATCTATGGAGGAATGACGCAACGACTCCTTGGTGTCCTTCTGCCCAAAACAGTGCAACCGGGGTCACCTGGTGACAGGGCAGCCAATTGACAAACTGATTTGTGGGTTGCAAGGTCGTAGGTATCAGGCAAACCATATTCTTGAGTTAGATGTACGTACATTGTTTTTGGAACAAGATGAGACAGAACAGGAACGCAGGGCATAGAAGTTATGAAGGCAGACAGTGATATAAGCGTAATCAGAGCAAGATTGGCCTAAGCCAAAATGATGGTTTTGAGAAAAACGCAAATTAAATTTTCGCTTTTTTGTTTCTTTGTAAAGAAGGTATTTTTGTTTCAATTTGATTTTGTCACTGCAACAGCTTCTATAAGATGTCGTATTTTGAATGTTATTTAAATATTATAGAAAAAACAAAATTTTACAAAAAAAGTAAGGGTTGAATTAACGATAAATTGTCATTGTGCAAGGAAATCAGTTGATTCGGTGGGATAGGTCATCGCTGAAAAAATGACTGCACAGTCAGAAAAAAACGAACTTTAAACAAAAAATGTTTATTAGTACAAATAAATAATAACTAATTTTCGCATTCGCTTTCATCCCTATAAGAATTAATCTCATCGTCTAGATCATGATTAGTTTTCAGGTTTTTATAGAACTCGTGAAAGATCGGAGGAATAAAACATATGAGAGCCAATAGGTCCTTTTCCTTTCTTATATCAACTTTACGTCCTTTTGGATATAACAGATTAAGCTCTTCAAAACTGTTAGAATAGTTCCTTTTAGACACGCTAACTGAATCAAATGGAGCAAAATCTTGATTTGAGTATTTAAAATAGATTTTAAATGGATCCGACTTTTTAAAGAGCATCTACTAGATTTTCATCCCTTCTACTTTTAAGTTATTTTCGGAAATTTCTCGATTTGTTATATTCTTCTCTAAATTATTAGTCCAGTAAAAATCTTTGGCTATCATCTAAACAAATTTAAAATGACCTTTTTTATTGCTGCCAGCTATCTGGCACAAAGATGTCTTTGATATATTTCTTTTGTTTTTCAATTAGACCTATCCGATTCCACAATAGTTAATAATAATATTTATTACCCTGATTAAGCAGTATATACAAATTTACAAAAATTTCAGAGAATAAAGGGCTACATCAGGTTGCCCCTTAAAGAACCAGCTGCTAGCGCCAAAAAAAAAACAAACAAATTTAAACAACTCTATAATAATGCAAATGACTATCAAGACATTGATAATTAATAAAGTTCTGCTATTAAGAAATATAGCTAAGTATAGTAAGTAGAGAAATTGAAGTTTAGAGTGAGAAAGAGAAAGCGAGAATAGGGGGAAGAGAAGAAGAGAAAAGAGGGAGCAGAAGATGTTTTTTATGATACCTGAGACAGTAAATCACTTTTAAGGTTCCTATTAAATGTAGCTACCGAGAAAGAAAAATCTTTAATTTTGAATTTATTTACCAAAAGGGCAATTTGATATGAGAATGATTTATTAAATGATTCTTTATTGTGTGATGGTATTGTAATCAAATTCAATCTTCTAATGTTTAGATTATGTACATCAGCCCGGTTCCTAATTTTTAAGTGAAGATAAGAGGGGCTTTTATATTTTATAATCTTGTAAAAAAAGGAAGTAGAGTGCAAGGTATATCTCTGAGCCATATTCAACTATCCCAGTTCAGGTGGTTTGTGGGATACATTGTGTCTACCCCTTATGCCAAATCACTGGACAACAAATTTTAGTTTTTTAATTGTATCTTGTGGGAAAAGTGCACTTCTTTGTTAATTTGGGGGCCCTGAATCCAAAAATGACAATAAAATAAAAAAATTAGTTGCGGTTTAGAAAAAAAACTTTTTATTTTTAAGGATATAATAAAAAAAGTAACAAGATTCATATACTTAAAAGAATCACTATATGCGCTGTCTTTTTGCTGTTCTTTTCTGGATCGTTTCTGGAGCATCTCTACCAAGAGTCCAACAGTAGTCTGCAAGCATGGAAATATTCCACTGACCCTGGTACTTTTTTTCCATTGTTGAAATATTCTGATGAAAACGTTCGCCGTGCTCATCACTTACGGCTCCGCAATTGTCAGGAAAAAAGTCCAGGTGTGAGTGTAGGAAATGTATCTTAAGAGATATATTACAGCCCATCTTTTGATACGATGACAGCATATTTTTGACAAGGGTTTTATAGTTGTCAGCTTTCCTATTTCCCAAGAAATTAATGACCACCAGACGGAAATCATTCCAAGCAGTTTTTTCAATACCTGTTAAAGTGTTTTCAAACTGTGTATCTTTCAAAATATTTCGAATCTGTGGCCCAACAAAAATACCTTCTTTAACCTTTGCCTCACTTAGTCTTGGAAATTTCTGACGCAGGTATCGAAAAGCTGACCCATCTCTATCTAATGCCTTGACAAAGTTTTTCATTAGGCCCAACTTGATATGCAGTGGTGGTAATAATTTTTTTTTCGAATCTACTAATGGCATATGCTGTACATTTTTTTGCCCTGGCTCTAGGAATTGACGAACAGGCCAGTTTTGTCTGGTGTAATGGAAAAATGTAGCACGTGCATTCTTGTGAATTACAGTATATTAACACTGTAACAGCAGGAACACATATAATTACCGTATCTCTAAAACTTGAACTAATATTGAAAAAATAAGTTTCATTCCGGTTTTAGCATATTAAAAATAGTAATATTTTGTTGATTTTATTTAGGATATTTTTTGGCTGTTGATCAGTGATATCAATCTCAGATAAGAATTCTGAGCGTTTTGAATCCATTTTAGTGCCACACTATCAAGAAATGGGCCATATACCATATCAGCAAAGTTGGACAACACTAAAGCTTCGCAGAGCGTGGCCTTAGTATTTTGTGATAGGTGATGTCTATGGGGGTAGATTATTTTTAACATTGAATATGCTTTTCTTAGGCACAGAGTAATGTGTTCTCTAAACTTTAGTTTAGAGTCAACCACTAAGCCCAATTCCTTCACGGAATCCTTAAATGATATTATATTGTCCCCTAGTTTGAGCTTAATATAATTTTCTAATTCGTTTCTGTAGGAATACAAACCAATATAGCCGTCGATTTACTAGGGTTTATCTTTAACAAGTAATCTTCAGAGGCTTTTAGAAGGTTATTCAAGTCGGTATTCAGACGGTTCGTTAAAAGTTCTCACAGATCAGGTTTAAAAGAGGCATAAATTTGAGTGTCGTCGGCATAAATATGATATTGACAATAACTTAACGACTTCATGAAATGAAATTGTCGACTGATGTAGCGCTTCGTTGCCGAAAACAGACAGGAACTCAGCAAGGCATTCTCGTTGCGATAATTGTCTCTGAAAGTTGTAATAAATTATGGCGCGAAAATGATTTTGGTTCCATTTTTCTAATGACTTGGTGACACTTGAGAATTCACTGTAGTGAGAACACTGCACGTATTGTTGTGAAACTTTGAATTTAAGTTTACTAAAGAGTGAGGTTAAGATTCAGTACTGACGTTCGATCCGTGCGGCCTACTATCTTTCTATATGCAAAACTTAAAATACATCCCTCGTATGTCATCATCCAGGACATACCGTCCCTGCTCCGCTTCCTGGAAAAGGATAATAAAAGCGAAACCGAAATTCCCTGTCCCCTAGGTTAATCCTTAGTACAACTCTATCTTTTCCCCGCGCGACTCGCCCAATCGACGCACGCGTTCTGCGTTCCTGCCCCTTAATCCAACCCTGTCTCTTTCTGGTGCATCTCGCCCAATCAATAACCACCCTTTCATCGTCCAGGACGCAGCGTTCCTGCTTCCATAACAAAATCAAAATTTCGTCAATTCGGTCCTGCCCCTTTTGCTGCCCCTTGTTCCAGCCCTGTTCCTTTCCCGTACATCCCGCCCAATCAATAACCACCCTGTCGTCGTTCAGGACGCGGCGTTCCTGCTGAGTCGACGCACGCGTGCTGGTTTCCTGCAGGAGGATCATAACAAAAGAGAATCCAGGCCAGCGGCATGCGGATGTGTTTTAGCGGTTACGCGGCGGTTTTACCTGATCTCGAGTGCTCCTGCGGGATGATACGTGAACAAGGTGAAAGAAGAGGAAGAATTGGGTCGTAGAAGGTGATACGTTGAGTCACAGGTAGGTCTTAATCAAAACAGTATGTCAGTGAATATTTTTCTTGTGTGGGCGAAAGCTTTATTGCTGTTGGCATGACATGTTGCATTCTGTTTTCAATTTTTCGTTATCATTTGAATATCAGGACTTCTCGCGAGATAACAGTGAGTCTGTCAAGTTTCTTAACTGATTTATTGGTGAGCAAAAATAGTACGCTCAAGTACGAAAATGTAATACTACAACAACGGGGAGCGTAGGTGGTTTCATAGTCTTGGAGTGGAGTCTTGTAAAATACGCACTTTCATCCACGCATCGTACTTTGCATACTTCATGCTAATAAAGCGGCAATAAAAAGCTTGTGCAGTGCTGGACAAAAAAACATAAACGCAGTTATTGCCTCTTGTAAGTTTTTCGACTCTCCCGCGATTCCTCTGTCAGTGTCCCAGTTAGTACAAGCTGAGTATATGTTGCGCGGATTTTCTCCATCTCAAGTAAGGATTATAGTGCGTCCAAGAAAAACAAAAAAAGCTCCTATAAATATATCATCTGTCTCATTACGAACATACACGTTGGTATAAATTTCTCCGCCATCGATACTAGAGTAGGGCAAGCCAACTTAATCGTATTTTCAAAACAGTTGGATCCATCTAAGGTATGGAAGACATATTTGCCATAGTTCGGGCGATATCTTCGCATCTGATGTGATGGAAAAAGTAGTCTAATTCGGATTTCTTCTTACTGCATGTTGCTAGGCCCAAATCTACGTAATTTTTTTTTAATTAATTACAAAAGTTGTTTTTTTGTCCGGTTGAAATGTTTCGGGATTACCTGAGACATTCTGAACTAAAAGGTATTCCACAAAAGGTGATATAAGTAATACAATGTTTGTCAAAAATTCGAAATATGCCATTATCGATCCTGCAAAACAATATCAAGAAACGAAAACTTTATTGTTGTCAGTGTTGCTTAAGATTCTTCAAACATCCATTGACAAAGTCCCAAAGGATTTCAGGAGGTATGTAAGCATTTTGTTTTTCAGTTGTTAATTGAAAGCGAGCACAGTGGTTCTCTCACACAAACTACCAACTGAGCCGGCGATTGGTTAATAATTAAAAAAGAAAGGTTTACTATAAAAATACCCTCTGAAATGGATTGGGGATGTGTCAATAGTTTTTTTTTTTTTTGTTGAAAATGACATATTCGCACTTTGCAAATATTGCATCAACTTCAGAGACAAGTTCTAAGGCACCTTTTTTGTTCAGAATGCCCCAAAAGCCTAAGGATACTTTAGAGTGAAAAAACAATCTTTGGAAGTTGTTTAAAAAATGTTTGAAGCAGATTGAGATTGGCAACATACAAATCCGTTAAAAGGTTTTTCTTTTAATTTAAAGAAAAAATCCAAATGAGGGCTAGCCCGTTGCGCGTTTCTTACATTTAAATCTCATGTTTAAAATCAACTAACCCTAAAATATTCTTCCGAGTTTTGCAGGGGACAACTTCAACTTTAATTCAGATCTCTGACAACCGCAAAAAACAATACTTTTCATTTAAGTATGAACGTAGAAAATTTTAAGGTTTATTAGACCTTAAGGCGCTTATATCTCGAAAACCATCGAACCATCCCTGATCTTATAAGAAAAAATAAGAGGACTGACATTCACTGTATGTCTGTAACTGCTACACATATTAAAGAAAATGCTCACAGGCTGTTGTTGACTTCAAAAAGTCCCACAGTTATGTTACCCAGACTATATAACAAATTACCGGAATCTTTAAAGAGTATCTAATCAAGAACGGTCAGAGAATTTCTCACATACAATTCTCTATATTCCTCTATACTCCTATTCGTATACGATACTTCTTAGATTTTTCTTCTAGCGATGTATTTTAAAGGTGAATGTACCAAGTTTTTGCAACTCCCTCAAATTTGTACCCGGTTGTCGGGGCTAGAAAATGTATCCCGCGATTGTGGGGTTTCGACCCACCTATTAGGAACATCGTCTTATAATTACAAAATGAGAGAAAATCATACTTGCGTGATTTCCGTTTTTCCATAAACCTATGAAAATGTGCAACAGTGTAACATTGATTTTGATTAAAATTGAAGACACGCGCTATCAATCAGCTAATCAATGCCTTTATGAATGGTTCAGTGATGGCTTCTAGTTTTGCAAAATTAGGTAACACTTCACAGTTATTTAAAAAAGGTATTTTGAATAATTCTAGCCAGATGCATAAATACACTGGGGCCATTTCATCAAGGTCCAAACGTTTTTTCCGTTGGCTGTTTTGAGAATCGTAGACGCATGTGTCGAAAATTATGGCTTTAAAAATATGCAAAGTAGCAGAAAGTATGATTTAAAAGAATGTGAAAATTACTTTTCAGTATTAAGCATCATTTGTCTTCATCTTATAAATAATACTACGAAATGCTGATAAAACATTTTCAAAAAATCACTTGTCAAACCAAGACTCCTGAGAAGGAACTTCAACAAAATGATGGATAGTGGGCTTAACCAAATGATGTGGCTTAAACAAGCAACATGCAACGCGAAAAGAGCGACTGCTAAGCTACTATTTACACTTGGCAATAATGAAGTTTCAGAGAATGCAGAAGCAATGAGATAAAAGGTCCGCTTCAGGTTAGGATAATTTTCTCTACTGGTCATTTACATTAGAATAGAATCCGACTAATTACGTCACAGTTCAAAGTGGCAGACATGTAACATAAGAGTATGTTGAACTCATTATTTCTCTATTGGTCATGTTCGGTGCATCACCAATCTAGTCAATTTACGTTTTAATTTTAGCTAAATATAGACTGCACTGAGACTTTGACGGTCGGTTGTTATAACTCCACCTCAGCTCGCTCATTCATTATACACTTCATTTATCAAGTACTTGCTTTGCGCTACCACCTCATTGTTATTCAGCCCTTCTGCGTGGAGTAACACGAGACCGAAGGGTATATTTTAATTTGAATACCAGTTATTACTTTTAAATGCTAACTAAATTGCTTGAAATTTGCAAGTAAAATTATAGAATCTTTTTGACGACTTTCTAATCTGGTAGTGCTATAACAGTTGTCCAATATTAGAGAAAGCCGTCTCTATCAGAAGCTTCCTCAACTACTCTTTGTTAGCAAATATTAGGTTTGCTGCGTTTTTTGAGAAAAGTAGTGCTTGAAGTTAAGTTATATGGACGGGAATCAGGATGGTCTTAGTCCAAAGTAAACAGCCCTCTTTCTTCACGAAGCTGTTTTATGACTCGTCTGACACTAACATAAATATTTCGACTATCAAGGCAAAGCACTTAAACTCAAATTAAGATTTAACGTACAGCGGCGGGTCTAGCGAGAGTGTCCTGAGGTTCCGCTCAACAAATATCCGGGTACAAAAAGTTTCGCTTTCAATTTTGACTTGAATCACTATAGCATAGCCCAGTGGGAGCAAAATTATATATCGATGCCAAAGATTGTAACAAATAACCTACTAACAGCGGTACAAACAACAGTAAGGTATTTTAAAACCAAGATCAGGTCTATACTAACTTTGAGCAAGTCGTTCAATTGTAAGCTTCAATTTGACCTTGAACCTCACCTCCAAAGCTATTCCGTGGTCCACATTTGTTTTTAATGGAGTGCCCCTTTTCTTCGCATCGGCAAGCAAAAGAACGGACAATTCTACGTCCGAAAAGTCAGAGGTCAAAGCTGTTTTTGGAGGTCAAATGAACGCTGTGCCTGCGCAAAGGCAGCAACAAATATCCTGCTTATGCTCAAAAGTGTACCAGATGTAACAAAAGTATTAGACTGCTGGAAAAGACCAAGGTCAAGTCTACACTTTGAGCAAGTTGTTCAATTCGCCTTGACCTTCAAAGTTATTTCAAGGTCAACAATATTTTTTCAAATATCCTAAGTGACATATAAATCCGAAAATTTTGTATAAGTACGAAGCATAATAAGTAAATGATAAAAATTTCAAAATGATTGCACTGCTTTAAAGCCCTTTGACCTTTAATAATGTGTGAATGCACCCTGATGTGCTACGCATTCTCCAACGCGCCTAGGCATGCTTCTGATCAGGTGGTCAATGTTCTCCTGTGGTATCTCATTCCAGGCAACCACCAACTCCTCTTGAAGTGCTTCTAGAGTCTGAGGAGGACGTTGCAAATTGAGCAATCTCCTACCCATCATATCCCACACGTGCTCAATTGGGGATAAGTCGGGAAATCTTGGTGGCCATGGTAACAATGTGACATCATTATGTTGAAAGAAGTCTATTGTGACTCTTGCAACATGTGGTCGGGCATTATCTTGTTGGAAAGTTGGGTCTGCCAGGGTATCAAGATAGAGTAAGAGATGGGGTTCTAGAACTTCGTGGATATAACGCTGCGCGTTCATGTTACCTCTGATGAAGATTAAAGGTGACCTGGAACCATAAGCTATAGCACCCCAAACCATAACTCCAACAGTGTGATGAGCATGTCTTTCAACAAAAAACTGTGGATTCCTCCTTTCACCACGTCGCCTTCTAACCCTGGCACGACCATCGTGCATGCCTAAACAAGATCGATACTCGTCACTAAAGACAATACTGTTCCATTCCTGATCCCAGAGTGACCGTTGTCTGCACCACTCAAGGCGATTACGTCGGTGTTCTCGAGTTAAAGGGAGAACCCAGTGTGACCGGTATGAAAACAACCCAAAACTTCTCATACGTCGGTAAACACTTCGCATGCCAATAGGTCTTCTGTGTTCTGCAAACCATTCATTTACAATGGACCTGGTAGTGGAGAAACGGTCCCTTAAGGCCAATAATCTTAGGCGGCGATCTTCACGGTCTGTTGTTCTACGGCGGCGTCCAGTGCCCCTTGCTCTTTGCGTACGGCCTTCTCGAAGCCATGCCTGACAACACCTAACCACAGTGTCTACACTTCTTTGCACTCTAACTGCAATTGCCCGAAAAGAAGGTCCAGCTTCCCGAAGTCCCACTATACGGCCCCTATCAAACTCACTAAGTTGACGA